CATAATAATTCCGTATAAATACACAACTATGGACGTATAAAATACACAATTTACAGATTGACGTAGGGGCCCAATAAAAAATTTTGCATAGGAACCCAAAAATCCTACCTACGCCACTGGTGCTGATCATCTTGAAGTTGTGTGAAAATGTGTTTATTTTTCTGCATATTTATTCAGCTTCCTCCCCCCCCCCCCCCCCCAAATTTCGGTCGGCGCATAACGCAGGCCATATAGAGAGGGGGGGGGGGGGGGACAAAATCCGACACATTTTTTTTTCACAGTGATAGAATAATGGTTTTGTAAAAACAAAAAAAAACTAATCGATTGCAGCAATATTTGTCCTACAGTAACTAAAACACAAGAAACCGAATGTGAAACAAGAAACAGAAGAACACTGATAAAAGCTGAAGAGCACTGAATAATTTGTATAAATATGTAGGCTATACAATTCATGTATGTATTTTGATGTAAAACCTGTTCTTGCCGCTTACCCTCGGAACAAATAAAGAGAGAGAAAAAGAACTGAGCTTTATATATTATTGTTATTAATGTAAAACCATATGTGGACTAAGCATCTATCAAATATAGCACCTCTAGTCTAACCCCCACTGTGTACAAAGCACCACTGTCCAAACCCCTACTGTGTACAAAGCACCACTGTCCAAACCCCTACTGTGTACAAAGCACCACTGTCCAAACCCCTACTGTGTACAAAGCACCACTGTCCGAACCCCTACTGTGTACTAAGCACCCCTGGTCTAACCCCCACTGTGTACAAAGCACCCCTGGTCAAACCCCCACTGTGTACAAAGCACCCCTGGTCTAACCCCCACTATGTACAAAGCACCCCTATTCTAACCCCCACTGTGTACAAAGCACCCCTGGTCTAACCCCCACTGTGTACAAAGCACCTCTGGTCTAACCCCCACTGTGTACAAAGCACCTCTGGTCTAACCCCCACTGTGTACAAAACTCCTCTGGTCTAACCCCCACTGTGTACAAAACACCTTTGGTCCAACCATTAATTAATGCGGACAAAGTACCAGCGTTATGTACAAAATTATATTTAACAGGGAAGAAACAATTTTGAAAATGATCAATACATAAGTAGATCTATATTTGTTTTATTTGTTTTTATAGCTAAGTAAAACCAAAAACTAATTTTTAAAAATTAGATATAAAACTGACAAAATGCTTTACAGTTTTTTTTTTATGTATCAAATTTTTAAATAAACACAGCAAGTTTATTTAATACTAATGGTGTCACCAGGTGCCCTCCTCTACTACATCTGTATAATATCCTTCGGAGTGGTCTTATTTAAATGTTATTTCATGGAGTGAGCCAGATAACATTTTGTTGGCACTATGGTGTTCACCATCTTCTCATACTTTATACAACTTATCTGCCTTGATCTAAGATCTCAAAAAAGTAACTATGTTATAAGTACAGACAAGCTGGGTCTATATAAACAAAATACCAAAGAAAAAGCTTGATATTTAAAAATGTTATGTCAACAGATAACAAGAATTCAAATTTAAAGAATTCAAATTTTAACAATAATCAACAAAAAGAGGCCATCCATTGAGCAGAGCTGTTCAAAAGTCCCTTAAAGTGTGGTACATCTCAAAGAAATGTCTAAGAACCAATTTCATAATTAGGTTCTTTGATGGTTAAAACAGTTTCTTTTTTCAAACAACTCTTAGTGCAAACATTTACCAATTACCACATTTATAAGGCTTTTCTCCTTTATAAATTCTAAGGTAGTTTTGTAATGTAATACTTGGAATAAAAAAAATTGAGGTCTGTTTGAAACTTATAACACTTATCAAACATTAGGTGTTTCTCCTGTATGAATTCTAAGGTGTCTCCTCAAATGACCATACTCTCTAAAACATTTACTACATTTCCTACACATGAAAGGGTGTGAATTCTAAGGTGGTTCTGTAGTACTTTGAAAGAAATATTTAACCGCTTATAAGACTTTTCTCCTGTGTGAATTCTAAGGTGGTTCTACAACATAGTACTTTAAAAGAAACATTTCATTAGGCTTTTCTCAAGTGTGAATTGTATGGTGTTGTCTGTTAAAAACCTGTACTGCACTGGTCACACCTAGGTGAATTCTAAGATGTCTCTTCAAGTGACCAAGCCTTGAAAAACATTTACCACATGTCTTACACATGTAAGGCTTTTCTCCTGTATGGACTCTATGGTGGCTTGTTAAATGTGTGAGCTGTTTGAAATATTGACCACAATCATCACACTTGTAAGGCTTTTCTTCTGTATGAGTTTTAAGGTGTATCTGTTATCCATAATGTGCTGGAAAACATTTTCCACACTTGTCACACATGTAAGGTTTTTCTCCTATATGAACTGTACGGTGTATCTTCAATAGGCTAAACTCTACGGGTTAGCAGTCCAGCTCTCTACCGCTAGACCACTCCATCCCCTGGATGAAAGATGTAGTAATGCAACAAAGACAGACAAACAAAGAAAAAGACAGAAATACATTTATCTATATGTATGTATATATATATATATATATATATATATATATATATATATATATATATATATATATATATATATATATATATATATATATATATATACACTGGTGTGTGTGTGTGTGTGCACTTGCACTATAAGAATGTATCTTTAATTACCCCTTACGAGATAGAAAAATATATTTTACACATTAAAATATAGGCCTAAACTTTAAACAGTGACACCCCCCTCTCCCCCTCCCCCCCAGTAAATAATCTGGAAGAAGCCATGCACACTTTAGCTGCAATTGTTTACCCTACCTGTTGTGCCAATACAGTTTATATAAGGAAGTAAAGGTTTAAGTTACCTGACTTGTTATACCTACCATTTAAAAATAACAAAAATCTTAACACTCATCACAAATAACATCACATATAACATCACATATAACATCACGTGTAACATATCCTTACACAAGTCGTAATCCCATCCACCCAGCTGTGTGCCACATGTCCATGGCAATCAAAGCAGCTACAAATCTACTAAAATTTAATGTGATTTCATTCAAATTCAATTTATTTTTAAAACTAGAATGTTTCCAGTTTTTATTTTCCATTAAAAAAGAGACAATTAAACTGAACAAAATAAATCAATATATTTCATACATACTTTGTGACTCAAATATATACAAAGACGATAGCTAACATAAATTTGCAACTAAAATTTAAAATGTGACTCCCATTTGAAAAATGGCTTACATAAAAATGTTACTTACATTTAAAATGTGACATGGTTTACATTTGCAATGTAATTTATAATGTAATTTTTTAAAATGTGGCTTACATAAAAAACAATAAGCTGTAGGGAGGTGGAGCTAAGTTTCTCTATTTTTGTTAAATTTAAGTTAATCAAGAGTGAATCAAGAGTTAATCAACACTAAAAAGATTGAACAAGATGCAACACAAGCTGACACAAGACTGAGGGCTAGAAAGTCACCAAGTTACAGTAGCACAAATCAATTCATAAAACTTAAATTCAACTGAAATCTGTTAGTGTAGAGACAACTTGATTTATAACACCAGAACATAAATGACATCTTTTTTTGTTAAAATTCCCCTGTGATTATAGTATGAACAGTAATGTACGGTGGGGGAGGTGGGTGGATAGAGTACCATTTAGACAGTTAATGCTAACAAAAGATTTAATTTTGTACACAATTTAAAACTGTGCATCTAGATTAGTACTAGTCATGGTTAAATACATTAGGAAGCTCCACACCATAAGTGACATAGTGACACAACTGGACAGAAATATAATTTCCCATTATTTCATCAAAAGAATCAACTTAAAATCATCAGATTATGGTCGTCAGTGAACTATGAATTGAATTAAGACCTTTCATGAAATAAAAACAGACAAACAACAAACATGATGTTGCCTCATATTAACATAGGGACACAATGTGACTCCTAACTTCGCACTTGCCAACTTGCTCCACTACAATAGTGACAGATTTTTGTTTTTATATTTTTAATTAATAACTCGTCCAAATTGAAGGTAAAGAGTAGAATAAAATATTCTTTTTAAAATATATGCCTATGTCTCACCAAAAATCAAAATTAACTTTAAAATTTCAATTTGAAAATCAGTTTTATATGTAAATATCAATAAACAATTGTAGACTTATTTATGTAAATTGTCTATCCTATAAAACATAAAGGGCACCAGTCCCACAGCCGTGCTTTAGCCAGCCCCGTTGCAAACAATTCCTTGCTTGCCACTGCCCAAGTGCCAACTTTTTTCGAATACCGTTAAATAGGGAATGTTATTTTATTCAGAATGCATCCCTCTACCTCTCAGTATGCATACAATTGACCTGAGTGACGTAGTTTTTTTTAGTAATTAGCTTCCTACTGTTGAGCCAGATACTGGACTGTGGGGTACAAGTAGGGTGGAAGATAAGCCCTGTGAGAACCGAAGGACGGAAGCGACCGATACAGTAATCAAACCGATACCCTAACCAGTTAGTCGAAATTAGCTGTGTTAAGGCCTGCCTGGCTAATGAGAGACACCCCCTGGGCCAGTGGTGTCAGTAAAGAAAGAAAAATAAGTTATTGGCTTCTAAAGTGGATTGGGATAGTCGTATAGTTATATTATAGTTATATTGTTTGATTACTAATTCTATTACAGCAGAGCTAGCTAAAGCAGTTTTTGTGCGAAACATTTGGATGTTTTTATATGAATCAATATTAGTTCATATTTAACGCTACTTATTTCAAATAAAAAATCAAATTTATTTACCTAATCCTTACCAAATACCAAAATATTAAAAAAATAATGTTAGTGGCTCTTTAAAACTGGAAAATTTTGTAAATTGTAATTTTTGGCTCTTCCGTCTCAAAAGGTTGCCGACCCCTGCCCTAAACTGATGCATACCTCAATGAGATGTTCAAGTGCATATTTCAGTAGTGGGTTCTTTGATGTATAAATAAATATAAAAAATATTTATCACATTTGTGATGTTTAAGTACAGTATAATTTTGTGCTAAACATTTATAATACCACAGTTAAAACATTTCTTCTGTAGGCATTCTAAGATGTTTCTGTAAAATACCAAGTTGGGTGAAACAATTACTTCACTGATCATACATGAAAGGATTTTCTCCTGTATGAATTCTATAGTGCATCCACAAGTTGCCAAAACTTGTAGAGCATTTATCGAATTTGTCACACTTGTAAGGTTTTGCTCCTGTATGAATTCTAAGGTGTCGTTGTACCTCCCATTGCTTGGTAAAACATTTACCACATAAGTCACACTTGCAAGGTTTTTCTCCTGTATGAATTCTATGGTGGTTCCTCAAGTTGCCCAAATTTGTAAAAGATTTACCACATTTGACACATTTGAAATGCTTTTTTCCTGCATGAATTTTAAGGTGCTGTTGTAAACGCCATATCTGTCCAAAAAAATTACCACATAAGTCACACTTGTAAGGTTTTTTCTCCTGTATGAATTCTACTGTGTTTGCTCAAGTTGCAAGAACTTGTATAGCATTTATCACATTTGTCACACTTATAAAGCTTTTCTCCCGAATGAATTCTGAGGTGTAGTTGTAAATGCCATATCTGTCTAAAACAATTACCACATAAGTCACACTTGTATGGTTTTTCTCCTGTATGAATTCTAAAGTGTTGTTGTAAATGCCATATATGTCTAAAACATTTACCACATAAGTCACACTTGTAAGGTTTTTCTCCGGTATGAATTCTACTGTGCTTCCTTAAGTTGCTAAAATTTGTAAAGCATTTATCACATTTGTCACACTTGTAAGGCTTTTCTCCTTTATGAATTCCAAGGTGTTGTTTTAAATCCCACTGCTTTCTAAAAATTTTACCACATATGTCACACTTGTAATGTTTATCTCCTGTAAGAATTCTATGATGTATTTGTAACTGTGTAAGTGTTGTAAAACATTGACCACATTTGTCACATTTATAAGGTTTTTCTCCTGTATGAATTATACAGTGTTTCTTTAGCTGTGCAAATGTTCTAAAACATTGACCACAGCTCTCACAATTGTAAGGCTTTTTTTCAATATGAACTTTAAGGTGTCTGCTTAATGTATCATGGCTAAGATAAGATTTATTACACTGGTCACATTTGTAAGGCTTTTCTCCTAAATGAATCCTAAGGTGTTTGCTTAATGTAACACCACTTCGAAATGATTTATTACACTGATCACATTTGTAAGGCTTTTCTTCTAAATGGATTCTAATGTGTCTGCTTAATGTAAAACGGCTTCGTAAAGATTTATTACACTTGTCACATTTGTAAGGCTTTTCTACTGTACAAATGATAGGGTGTTGATGAAAGTTTGATGACTGGGAAGGAAGTTGACTACAATTATCAATGGCATCCTGACCCCTGTTGACTATTCTATCCCTACCATGTCTGTATTGCAAATGTGCTTTCAAATAAGAAAGTTTTGTTAAAGCCATTCTGCAATCTTGACTTGGATAAATATCTGTGGAATGTTTTTACTTGTTTGAAAATATGTTCATAAAATTTAAAGATAAGTTTAAACACAATGCTTAAGGACATGACATTGACATCTGCTGATAAAGTGGACATATAAAAAAACTGATAAAATGGACACATTGATGATAAATAATAAGATCTTGATCTATCTTATACGGTCAGGTAGACCCTACATCATATAAGTTATATGATGTAGGGTCTACCTGACCGTAACAATGCCAAAATCAAACATTTGTCATGTTAGCTGTGTTAGAATAAGTTAATTAGTAGATCTAGATCTAGATTCCAGAAAGTCTAGATGTACAAATTGTAGATTCTAGTACACAACAATCTGAGTAGGTTAGACATCCTGATTTTTTGATTAGTCAAAACCAGAGACCTAGATTCTAAATTCTAGTCATTATCTAGAAAACAAAGATACTCTCGAGTCTAGGCTAGAGTAGTACTCTAGCTCTAGACTTAATTAATTATTAATCAATGAATCAATAAATCTATATTCATTATAGACCTAATATATATCTAGATCTAGTTATAGTCTAGTATTAATAAAATAAATGGTAAAACCTTAGAAAGGCTTAGTTTAGCTTCGGTTATTATTCCGAAATGGTATAGCAGTAAAAAAACTAAAACAATGGCAAAGTCTGTCATACAGTTCCGGTATCCACTGGAAGTACTGTAAACCATACTTTATTTTGGCGCCATCTTTAATTTTTTAATAAAGAACGTTTAAAATTTGGATAGATTTATTTTAATTGCGTGTTAAATACTGCTTTTTTTTACTCATTTTGTATAACTAGTTATTTTTAAGTGTTTCAACTAAATATTTCTGCTACTAAACATTGTTTAACAGGGTTCGTACGCAATCTGGAAAAAGTCTGGACGGGTCTTCACTGTGGTATGACGTTTTTCGCTGGGTATCACAGAAGAAACCTGATTTCTCAGTTACTACGTCATTGGGGGAGGGGGGGGGAAGAGTGTAAGACCTGTTTTTTTTTTTTTTTTTTTTTTTTTTGTTTGTTGCTTGACTGACCGTGAAAACGTTTAGGGCTAGACTAACCCGCCCCTCATAGTAGCTAAGGTCACTGATATCTAAATTTGTATGAACTCACCGTGACCCCAAGCAGAGGCGTAGCGACCCTACCCGGCGCCCGGGGACAAACTTTCGATTTGCACCCCCCTCGAACTTTTCATTTGCACCCCCCCACTCAAACTTTCGATTTGCACCCCCCCCCCCCCCCTCGAACTTTTCATTTCTAGCCCCCCCCCCTCAAACTTTCAATTTGGCGCCCCCCTAAGGTCGGCGCCCGAGGACATATGTCGTTCCCCCCCCCCGCCTCGCTACGCCTCTGACCCCAAGTCAGTAGCCTAGCGAGGGGGGGGGGGACATATGTCCCCGGGTGCCAACCGTAGGGGGCGCCAAAATGGGTTGGAAAAATAAATTGAAAGGTTGAGGGGGGTGCAAATCGAAAGTTTGAGGGAAGGGGGGGGGTGCAAATCGAAATCTCGAGGAGGGGGGGGGTGCAAATAAAAAAGTTTGTCCCCGGGCGCCGGGAAGGGTCGCTACGCCTCTGCCCCAAGTACGTAGATGGTGCTGTTTGGCTAGGTGAGGGGGAATAGAAGTTACGGTATAGTTCATGATATGACGTATTAGACTGGGCTACTGTGACCTCACAGTTATCCTTCCACCGTCTCTTGTTGTGTGTGTGGGGGGGGGGGGTACCGGTAGTTTTTAATAGCAGACACAAGTTTATCAGCTATAAGCACAAATAATGGTGTGGTTACAAAGGTCTTGTTTCATTTTCAAAATAGTGTACGAACCCTGTTTCTAGTCCCTTTTACTCTGTTTGTAATCATTTTTACATCTTTGTAGTAATTTTTACAATTTTCGTAATCTAGACTTTTTTAGACATTATTTATATTTATATTAATAGGCCTATAAGGTTTTTTTTTATTTTTAGATCCCGACAGCCGATTTTATCTCGAAAGTACCAATTCCAATTAGGCTACTAGATTCTAATTCCGATTACTAAAAATAACGCATAAGTTGAAAGATACTTAGGGGCCTAATTGTATAATTTATTTACGAAATTTCGTCAACCAATAAAATTTCCAAATATCTCCACTTGCGTGATTGCCTAGCCTAAATATTGGGTAAAAAATCCCACCACAATCGGCAGGGTCACTGAGTTCAGCAGGCCTAAAGTATAGGCCTACGTCATAGAAGGAACATAAGTGCAATTTGAGGTCGGTGTCTTCACTTCTCTTCCCCCCTCCCCTACACACACACACCATTCAAGAAAACAGAAAAACAGACCAACTTCTAATACATTTTTTTTAAAAGTTCACATAGGCTTATAGTATTTATAGACTTAGATCTACCACCACCCATGCTAAATATGATAGATAGCGGTAGATCTATATGCAATCAAGATTCAATAAATTATATCAATAATAGTTTAATGTACAAATAGTATAGTTACTGCCCTTAACAAGAAATCGAGTATGTGCTTTTGATCAATAGATTACTTACCAAATGCCTACCAAATACTGTTTACCTGTTAAGAGCTATGGTTATTCTTTATTTCTATGTACCCAGATCTACTGTATGTGTCATAATTTATTTTTTGTAAATTTTTAAAAAAAGACGCATTTTTGACAAATTGTGAACCCCTGCACTCTTCTGATCAAACGTGTGTTTCAAAAGTACTTGTTATAGGCATACATGTTACTTAAATTCAAAGAAGCGTTGTTCCCCTACATTTTGATATAGGCCTACTTATCAAGTATGCTTTTTCATCAGATATTTTTTGGTGTTGTTTTAAAAACGTACAAAATGTGTGTTTTTAATTCCCTTTTTAATGTTATTGTAACACATATGGTTACCAGCCAAAGGGGGATACAACTATGAAGTTTTTATTCATTGGGTTGCGGCCCCTGTGGGACTGCAACTGAACTGTTGACGTTTTTTTTATGCTTTTGTGAGCGAAATTACCTGTGTTCCATGTCATGTGACATGTGCCTAGTCGTGTCGCACACGCAAGGCTGCTGTCTGTGGACCAAGATGTAGACCTAATGAAGGTAGTGTAGATATATAAATTATGTTTGTTTAAATACTTATGTATTCCTGCTAGTGCTGCATGTGCACACTAGTTAGGGTGATGTATTAAATTAAGTATTTATTTTGTAGTACTACTTATTGGTACTTGTTGGCAGTACTGTGTACTGGCCGAAAACATAATTTATTGTACCCGTGTATATTGTAGCTTACACGTGGTGTTGTCCTGAATGTAACTTTTTTATTTTACATTTGTTTTAGGGCTACAGTTTCTGTTTCTGTTTCTATTTTGATCTTTTGATCTTTTGGTCTTTTGGATTGTTTGGATATTTTGGTCTATCTTGGCTAGTTCGTTTTGTGTTGCATCGCCGTCATGGCTCGATGCTATAAATAAACGAGTACTTGACAACAACTGTCGGCGTCGGTGTGTACTTAATCTCAGGGTCAGCCCGTCTTAAACCACAACACCTCAGTGGGTAAAAGCATCCCCACTGAGTGAGGGTTACATTTGGCGCCCAACGTGGGGCTTGACCTTGGGAGGTAGGATGGAAAGCACCAAGCCGACGTTCGAGAAGTTGTCGCAAGAGCTGGCCAAGTTGAAGGCTAAGATGGCTGATCTACAACACGCAAGTGCGCAGCGGCCCGTGACGGTGAAGGTGTGTGCTCCAGTACACAGCGATGAGGAGGAGTTCACCGACTTTCTACCCACGGGCGGGGTTGCAGGGGAAGCTAGCCCGAAGATGGAGACCGTCCTGAAAGCTGTTCAAAGGCTGGACGGGACAACTGAGTCCCCAGTCGTAGCCACGGCAGCAGCTAACAGGACTATCCAGGTCGACGCAGTAACGGCAGCTGTTCGCCAAGAGACGACGCCGCTGATACTCACGGAGGAACAACTTGACCGTCTGGCGGAGAAGGTGGCAGCAGCTATCCTAGCCCGGAAACAACGGCCTTGCAGAGGAGCTTGTTACGGGTGCGGGTCCAGGAAGCACTTCGTCCGCGACTGTCCGAGGAAAGCAGCTAGGCAACGGAGTCAGCAGCAGGGGAAATGCCAGTCTATCAGCGTCGGGGAGCGGATGCTGATGCGTGTTCTGCCAAGCTCTCAGCCCAAGTTTACGCCACCGAGATCATCACAGTGTCGAGCAACCACAGCTCAGGTTACCTCGCCTAACGGCTGGAGGTACGGCTGTCGGGTGTTCCGCCGTGGAGGAGGGTTGCAGCCGGAGGGTGCGCGTGAGAAGGGTAGACAGCCACACTATGAATGTCAGTCTCAGCGCGAGCAAGATCGTCGCTTGGGAGACAGACATGACACAAGCAGAGGTCGGAGACGCCGCCGGAGGAGAGGCCGACGACGTGGTGGACGCCGCCGTGGTTGGCAGCGACCCGACTATACAATGTCGAGTGCTGAACCCACTGTGGCGGAGGGGGAGCGACGGAGAGAGGTCATACCAACCAGTGAGGCAGATGAAGGTGAGGAACTGACAATCAAGGTAGTGGTCCCAACTGGACTTCGGCCGGAGGCAACGCCTTTCGTGCCCGAGGTGGTCGCCCAGGACGGACAAGAAAAGGAGATGGTCAGGCCAGCCCCACATCTGGATGAGGTGAATGCGAGGGACGAGGCATCGGACGAGGATGACTCTTGGATCAACCCAGAACCACCAGCGGAGCTGCGGAGGTCAACCCGTCAACGACGACCCGTCGAGCGACTCAACCTGGCGCATCAAGTGGTGACCAGTACCTGCACTGGAGCCTCTACCGGTTTGCCGGGAATAATCTATTTAAGTTGAAAGGACTTAATGTCTGTGTACTAGTGTACTGAACTTTTTTTTTTAAGTACTATTATGTATGAGTGTAAATGTAAATGTAACTGTGAATTTCATTGTACATTTATTTGTGAGGGGGGCTGTGTAACACATATGGTTACCAGCCAAAGGGGGATACAACTATGAAGTTTTTATTCATTGGGTTGCGGCCCCTGTGGGACTGCAACTGAACTGTTGACGTTTTTTTTATGCTTTTGTGAGCGAAATTACCTGTGTTCCATGTCATGTGACATGTGCCTAGTCGTGTCGCACACGCAAGGCTGCTGTCTGTGGACCAAGATGTAGACCTAATGAAGGTAGTGTAGATATATAAATTATGTTTGTTTAAATACTTATGTATTCCTGCTAGTGCTGCATGTGCACACTAGTTAGGGTGATGTATTAAATTAAGTATTTATTTTGTAGTACTACTTATTGGTACTTGTTGGCAGTACTGTGTACTGGCCGAAAACATAATTTATTGTACCCGTGTATATTGTAGCTTACACGTGGTGTTGTCCTGAATGTAACTTTTTTATTTTACATTTGTTTTAGGGCTACAGTTTCTGTTTCTGTTTCTATTTTGATCTTTTGATCTTTTGGTCTTTTGGATTGTTTGGATATTTTGGTCTATCTTGGCTAGTTCGTTTTGTGTTGCATCGCCGTCATGGCTCGATGCTATAAATAAACGAGTACTTGACAACAACTGTCGGCGTCGGTGTGTACTTAATCTCAGGGTCAGCCCGTCTTAAACCACAACACCTCAGTGGGTAAAAGCATCCCCACTGAGTGAGGGTTACATTATCAATAAGTGAGAAAAGCCAATTTCAATGCAATTAATCTACATGATGTACTTAACTTTTGAGGTGAGAAAACAATTAACTCTGTTCTTTGTGTATGTATGTTTGTGTTCAGTTCAAAAGATTGTGTTTGTGACATTTACTTTTACAGATATAGCCTCTCAAACATGGCACCTTTTAGGGTGTTGGGGAAAAGTTAAAAGCCAACTTTTTAAAACGTCATAACTTTTTCCCACGTTTTCTTTAACTTGCTTTCTCTGTTTGTCTTTCCAATCAAATCTTGCGATCGAAATTTCTGGCACTTCCCAGTTAGCTAGCGCGCTGAAATTTTCAGGGAAGCTTTCTTTTGGATGACCATTGAATATTCAATTGTTATTATTACTAAATTGATCAATGGAAACATTTTATTGAGCATTTTAGACCGCTATATAATCTATATATATAATTCTCCTCTGCTAGCCATTAGAAAAAAAACCAGCGACGCGTACCTCGCGCGCAGTGAAGCGAACGATCACATGTCGCCACAGGCTTAGGGGCAGAGAATTTAGCTTGAACCGAGTTTAAACTTACAGGAGGTAGGCCAGTTTGGGGGAGACGATATGGTCGAGTGGTTGGGCACACGATTGCTATCCCACTCGACACGGGTTCAAATCTATGTGTTCTAGTCAGTAACGTATTCAAACAACGAGTTTTTTACGAGTTGTCTTTTTACGAGTTGTCTTTTTACGAGTTGTCTTTTTACGAGTTGTCTTCGTTTACCCAAAAAAAGTGAAAAGATAAAATCGATAGCAAGATTTTAATGCAAACAAACAGACAAAGACTAAAAAGTAGAAAATAATAATCATTAAAAAAGTTTTAAAAAACCCACGTTTTCTGATTGAACTAAAAAGTAGAAAATAAATGCTATAGGCCCTACATCACAATAATGCAAGCGATCACTCTACTATAAGCGAGCAAAAACGTGGGGCGCCGTGATTTTCTTACAGTTTCTAATACTGTTGACTCTCTACAAGCTCCCTAATAAAAGTCAATAGTATTATCTAATCAATAGTAATATAACTTTTACTTCGGCGCCCCACGTTTTTGATCGCTTATAGTAGAGTGATCGCTTGCATTATTGTGATGTAGGGCCTATAGCATTTATTTTCTACTTTTTAGTTCAATCAGAAAACGTGGGTTTTTTAAAACTTTTTTAATGATTATTATTTACTACTTGAGATATATGAACAAATTTAGTACCCACTATCTTAGAATCATGAGTTCTTGAGATAGCAACTTTCAAAAAAGCTCTGGTACCATTGCAATTTCATTCAAATTCAATTAATTTTAAAAGCTAGATTATTTCCAATTTTTATTTTCCTTAAAAAAGAGAGCATTGATTTTGATGAACCAAAACATAAACTGAATTAATTATAAATCACCAATGGAAACCTTGGTATCAAAAATGTAATACAAACAGTTAACAAGAATCAAAATTTAACAATATTTTACAAAGAAAAGACTATCAACTGCACAGTGCAGATCAAATGACCCTAAACTGATGCATACCTCAAAGAGATGTTAAAGTGCATATTTCAGTTGAGGGATCTTTAATGTATAAATAAATATTTAAAATATTTATCACATTTGTGATGTTTAAGTACAGTATTACTTTGTGCTAAACATTTACAATTACCACAGTTAAAACATTTCTTCTGTAGGATTTCTAAGATGTTTCTGTAAATTGCCAAGTTGGGTGAAACATTTACTTCACTGATCACACATGAAAAGGATTTTCTCCTGTATGAATTCTATGGTGTTGTTTTAAACTACAAAGCTGGGTAAAACTATTACCACATTTGTCGCACTTGTAAGGTTTTTCTCCTTTATGAACTCTAAGGTGTCCTTGTAAATGCCAGATGTGTCTAAAACATTTACCACATTTGTCACACTTGTAAGGTTTTTCTCCTGTATGAATTATAAGGTGCTGCTGAACATCCCATAGCCTTCCAAAACATTTACCACATAAGTCACACTTGAAATGCTTTTCTCCTGTATGAATTCTATGGTGCTGTTTTAAACCCCATAGCTTTCCAAAACATTTACCACATAAGTCACACTTGTAATGCTTTTCTCCTATATGAATTTTAAGGTGTTGTTGTAAATGCCTTATCTGAATAAAAAAATTACCACACAAGTCACACTTGTAAGTTTTTTCTCCTGTTTGAATTCTATGGTGCTTCCTCAAGTTGTCAAAACTTGTATAGCATTTATCACACTTGTAAGGCTTTTCTCCTGTATGAATTCTAAAGTGCTTATTTAAATCCCATAGCCTTCCAAAACATTTACCACATAAGTCACACTTGAAATGCTTTTCTCCTGTATGAATTTTAAGGTGTTGTTGTAAATGCCATATCTCTCTAAAAAAATTACCACATAAGTCACACTTGTAAGTTTTTTCTCCTGTTTGAATTCTATGATGCTTCCTCAATTTGTCAAAACTTGTATAGCATTTATCACATTTGTCACACTTGTAAGGCTTTTCACCTGTATGAATTCTAAGGTGCAGTTTTAAATCCCATAGCTTTCCAAAACATTTACGACATAAGTCACAATTGAAATGCTTTTCTCGTATATGAATTTTCAGGTGTTGTTGTAAATGCCATATCTGTCTAAAAAAGTTACCACATAAGTCACACTTGTAAGTTTTTTCTCCTGTATGAATTCTATGATGACTTCGTAACCCTGCACTTGTTGTAAAACATTTAGCACATTTGTTGCATTTGTAAAGTTTTTGTCCTAAATGAAATATACAGTGTTTAGTTAGCTGTGCAAATGTTCTAAAACATTGACCACAGATCTCACAATTGTAAGCCATTTTTTCCATATGAGCTTTAAGGTGTTTAATTAATGTATTATGGCTAAGATAAGATTTATTACACTGGTCACATTTGTAAGGCTTTTCTCCTAAATGGATCCTAAGGTGTTTTCTTGGTGTATCATGGCTTCGAAAAGATTTATTGCACTGGTCACACCTGTAAGGCTTTTCTTCTAAATGAATTCTAATGTGTCTGCTTAATGTAACACGGCTTCCAAAACATTTATTACACTTGTCACATTTGTAAGGTTTTTCAACTGTACAAATTGTATGGTGTTGATGAAAGTTTGATGACTGGGAAGCAAGTTGACTAGAATTATCAATGGCATCCTGACTCCTGTTGACAATTCTATCCCCACCATGTCTGTATTGCAAATGTGCTTTCAAATAAGGAAGTTTTGTTAAAGCCATTCTGCAATCTTGACTTGGATAAATATCTGTGGAATGTTTTTACTTGTTTGAAAATTGTTTTCATAAAATTTAAAGATAAGTTTAAACACAATGCTTAAGGACATGACATTGACATCTGCTGATAAAGTGGACATAAAAAAACTGATAAAGTAGACAGTGTTGACTAATTGATATAATTGATACAGTTGACATGTGACTGACTTTACAACATTGGACTTGAAAAGCAACTACATCAACAAAAAGGACTAGGACTTGTATTGTACTAAATGAAATAGCTGTTTATATTAAAAAAAAACTAATTTACTGAAAATATCTGGTTTTTATCAATGAATTATCTTTTTCCAATATCTGACAATAAATATTTCATTAAAATTATATATTCAGTAATCTAAAAAATATTTTTGATAGCAATTACGAGTAACATTGCACACTTGATAATTAGAGAAGGAAAAATTAAATTGATGCTAGTAAGAAAATGTTTCTTTTACTCTTCTCTTAAACTAACACATTTTCCTTAGCATAAGCACAAATTAAACGTTTACCGGAACTAGAGCTTTAACCAGATTGGGTATATTTAACCTTAACTGAAACTTTAACCAGAACCAGAAAAAAAAACCTAGTCTTAATCTTTACACTAATTATATCACTGATTCTCATCCCAATATTCTATCCCTTTTTAATTATTTGCATTTGCTGCCTGTTAGTCATAACTACAATTGAATAGACACACTCACATTAATGACAAATAAAATAGCCAGTACATTTTTGTCTCTATCAAATTTTCAATAATGTCATTATATTTTTGTATCTTGGCATTCCACTTTTGATTTTGCTTTTGCTTTGTATTTTCCTATTAGTTTCATATGATTCCAGAGCATTCTTGTCACATTAACCGAAAGACAGAACAGTGTAAAAATATCAAATACATTCAGTAACACAAAAAATCCCCAGGGAAAAAAGAGGGTGGGCCGGCCAAGGAAGACATGGAGAAGAATGGTTGAAGAAGAGGCGAAAACACTGGGCTCACATGGGCATAGATTAAGGGAGCAGCCCAAAACCGAGTCCGCTGGAAATGTGTGGTTGCAGCCCTTTGCTCCCCAAGGGCCACAAAGGATGCGACATTTAATATCTACCATACCAACTGTTAATATTCCATATTCATAATTTAAAAAATAGTAGGCCTGTTATAATTCATTAATTTAAAATTCAAAACCAAGAATTAGCATTTATTTCAGGCACAATATGAAAAGATATCGATGTATCTAGTCTCATATTAAAATAATAGTAGTAACATGCAAGATTTGCATTCTTCTAAATGTGACTTTTTCCTTTTTGACCATAAACAAAACAACACAATCCCTAGCCATTTATTGGGTTCAGATGTTACTTCATGGCTGCTGTAAGTAGACAGACAATTTATAAAATATTACGGACAGAGAAACTACTTTGCAATGCAAACTACTTTAAATTAGGAAATAATTTAATTTAAAATGTTTAAAAAACATTTAGCACATTTGTTGCATTTGTAAAGTTTTTCTCCTAAATGAAATAGACATGCTATTAAAATATAAACTCTAAATTATTCAACATTACAAGGTTTTTTTTTAATCTAAGCTAAATCTAGATACAGACTCTAGATTCTATTATATCTTTTAGATTTAAACCTTAGGCCTAAGGTTTAAATCTAAAAGATATTTTGTGATGATTGTCAAGAAATAGCTTTTTTATTTTCTGTGCCTAATTCTTTTATTTTAAAATGTATCTAGGGCCTACATGTCCTAAACAATGCCAAGATCAAACATTTGTCATGTTAGCTGTGATAGTACTAGATTCTAGTTAATAGACGTGAGCGAGAAAAGTCTCAAAGGTATTTGAGAGGCCCATTAATTAATTTAAAAATCATGCACGGCCTAGTTAAAATATTGTTATAAAATCCTGTCTGTCTGGTTTTTTCGGACTTTACTAAAGATTGGATGTATTTGATGTTTTTCATATTTTTGATAACTAAATAAAAAATAAAAAAAAGCAAAAACAATTTGGTTTTCACGTGTAATGGTGACATAAACAATGGCATCCTGCTATTCGATAGGCTGCCATAAATTTTATTGTACACACTGTAAGCTAAAAAAAGGAAAACTAGGTCATGGGGGTTTAAATTTGCATTGTTATTTAAAAACTTTATCTGCAAAGTTTTGTAAAGAAATAATTATCGATCACGGAGTTCCTGTACAGCCAATCAATATGTGTCTTACAAAAGTGAAACATCCGGATATAAATATAACTTAGGCTCGATGAAAATAAATAGAAATGTAGCCTTAAACTCAACAATTATTTTCAAGTTCTCTGGATTTGCAACTTTTATAGCATTTATTCTAAAAATATAACATTTCTAAATTAATTTTAGGCTTAATTTTTTTTTTACGGTCTAAATCTAAAAAAGCACGTTTTTATTCCATGTCAACAACATCATGGAAGGATTCTCGTCAACTCGTTCTTGTCCATTAGTAGATTCTAGATCTAGATCCTAGAAATTGTATATCTACAAATTGTAGATTCTAGTACAATTATTAATTATTATTAACAACAATCATGCTGATTACTGAACATGATTAGACATCCTATTGATAAGTTTTAGACTAGTCAACACTAGATCTAATCTAGATCTAGATTAGATTCTCAATTCTAGTTTAGTTAGAAATTAGATCTAAGAGATAGTTAAGTAACTTAAGTTACTAGATTCTAGTTAGTAGCTTTTCTTACTAAATCTAGAATTTACCCAAATTTCAAATTAAACATGACTACTGAATGATAGACATCCATATTTAATCCATTAGGGACTAATTTTGAAGTTTTTAGTTCGTTTTAACCCTTTATTTACGGAATTAGGTTCCGAATGATTTTTTTTCTTAAACAATATGTTTTCATATTGCTTTTGGCACATTTAAAGCATATGTCGAAGGAAATTTTATTTCATAAATTTTTAAGGGCCCAAACATGTATTGGTACTTATAAGTACCGTCAGGAATGTAGGACATTTTTTTCAAAAATTAAAAAATTTACAAAACAGGAAAAAACGATACAATTTATTTAATAATAGCATGGCAATCATTATAACAATCATTTTTTGTCATTTTCACACATAAACCCAGCACAAAAGTATATTTTGAGTACGATTTTTACTGGATTTTCTATCGGAACATATCTCAGACCTCAAACACAGGAAAAGGTGCCGACATGTCATGCTCCCTCATTTCTCATTCCTGAGATATTCTTGTCTGTCGTCTTTCTGGTGTGGTAACAGTTGCCGGACTGAACCTGCTTTTGCTAGAGGCTTCCAATAGCCATTACAATGAGCCGCATAAATAAATATTTTGAAAACGAAAGCCTATTCATTCAGTACACTACTACTAGTAATACTAGTATAATTGTAGCCTACTAGAATGTTATGACAAGTCTACACTACAGTGTAAAGTTCATAAATAGAAGTGAGCTCAATGTGTTTGGAATAGACGTAGTGCCCTACTGTTTTGTGTTTACTGATTCAAAATTACAAAACGATCTATACTACATGCATATGTATGGACTATTACTAGTCTACATGTGTACATTACGTACACGTTAGATATTGTATGCAAGACAGTTTTTTGCAACAAATATAACTTACAAATCTTACTTCTAGAACTAGACTTTGGTATACAAATAACGTATACTAAACCTAGTAAACGAGCCTGCAACTGCCATCTCTATTCTTGTTATTCTTTTACTACTAGAAATCTGCAATTAGTTACAATATTTCTGCGGAAAACCCTATGCTTACCTTCTTATAAATGCATAAATATATGTTTTTAAGTACATTTCGATAATTAATTATCAAAATAATATTTATGTCACTCCACATAAAAAATCAGCAATTTCCAAGAAATCCTAAAAAAATGTCCGTGTGCCCTGACGGTACTTATAAGTCCACTTGTAAACATCGATCTATTACAAAGACAATTTGATAAAAATTGTATAACTAGAAGTTAAATGCATTTGCCTGACTATTGAAGATGCCAATAAAAAATATTCGGTGTTGAAAACTTGAAGAATAAGGTAAAACAAAGGGAAATCAGGAACACATGTGAGATATGTACAGAACAATTGTGAACTACCGATACAGGTAGAGATTGAAAATGGCGCCACACCAGTAATTTTCAAAAAACATCGTTCCCTCCACCTACCTGTGACTCAAGGGAGATAATACTATCAATTACATCAATAATTTTTAAAATTCGTCCTAAATTAAAAATAATACAGGCGCTTAATTAAAGTGGTACTTATAAGTACCGTCAGTAGATAAAGGGTTAAACTAAATTACTTAATTTAATATTTATTGACACTCACTGCCATGGACAACACATCTCTCCATGACAACTCTTCTTACCCCTGAAGGCACTTGAAGCTAAAGAGAACCACAAATGCGGTTAGACTTTTTAAGTGGCCATGTTCCCCACTAGTGATCATCAAATAGCGGTCACGTGGTCAAAAAAAAAAAAAAAATTTGGTTGTCATTTTTTGGCCACTCTTATAAAAAAAAGGGTTGACTATATTTGATTTATTTTTTCATAGACTGATAAAACTAATAATGCTTTAGTAGGGAAATCAATTTTGTAATAGGGAAATCTATATTTAAAAAGTTCTAGTATTTTTGATGAAACCAACTTTTAAATTTAGCCTTCATTCTCCAACGCACATTTTAAAATGCTTTTCTGGCATATATAGCCCTTGTTGTTATAACGTGAAAGTCCCGCCATTTTGCGCGTGGTAAACATTTTAAAAACTAATTAGTAGGTCTCTGGAATTTGGCCGAAAAATCGTCGGAAGTCAAGCGTCCGGTCCGGGCGCCATATTGTTGTTAGCAACCGGCCACGCCTCCGGGTTAGCGAGAAATACTACTAGTTAGTCATTATAGCGCACAATATACTTTCTTAGTTATCTGGGTTCTATACAGATCTATCTAGATCTAGTATCTACTATCTAGCCTTACATTTTACTTGTGCAGCTTAAAGTATGGTAAACAAATTAAGTTTTGAATTACTCAGAAGCGCCATAACTTTTGTGGTTGAAGTAGTCCCTGTGACTGTAGACTTGATGAGTTTTAGTGTAATCAATTCAGCCGGCGCTAGAACGGGAGAGTAACTAATTTTATTTATTTTAGGTTTATCCGTTTAGCAGACTATGCAAAATGTCTCACAAACTAGGTACCCTGTTAGCGGTATCGATACTGCATTTTCATGTTCCTTCGTTCTATAGGAAATATTGCACCAATTTTTATACATTTTTTTTTCTTAAAAATGTTAATAATTAAATTAGTAAATTAATAGATTCAAAGATAATAAATTAACCTTTTTAAAATAGTAAAACTTGTATGAGTTGAGCTAATATGTTGCGGCCTATACTACATGATACTAATGATTGAATCAGGTATACGATAACTCAACACAAAGTTGAAATTAAATTACACATAGAATGATTTAAAACTAAAAAAAATAATGACACTAGGTTCGATTTGAGTAAGACTATACGATTTTTAGTTTAATTTTTAACAACGAAAATAATATTTTTCGTAATGTATTATAGTAGAGGCTTAAATCTAAAAATCGAGATAAGCGGTATCGCTAATGTTTTGTCGCTATATCCTTTGGTATTTAGATCAATTAAAAAAAAAGAAAACATTCAGACTTAATTTGAATTTACTGTGAGTCGGTACTTTTATACTGTTATTTTCACAAATGGTTTTACTATCTTCTTCAGGCGTTCACAAGCTGTAAAACCCGACTAATAAAATAGACCCCGTTGGCCTAAGTTTTAGCGATATCGATACTACCTTTCAGCGCTTTCGTATTCCGTTATACTTGTATTATATTATTAGGCCATTAGGTCTATTTAAAATGTAAAATAAAAGATGTATATAAGCTGTCTTAAACAGTATAAATCAAAGGTGAAAATTATTAATTGAACAGTGGTTGATTCAATTCACCAAGTAGACTGTGCGGGATCCAAAATCTTATTAATATAAGAAATATTAGTTAAAAACACAACATTTTACGAGTGTGTTCATTCTATTGTAACAAGCTGAATGTGTACACTGATAGTCATCATTTATTTCATATCCCATTAGTTTATCTTGCTAAAGAATAAAACATACCCTTGTAAACAAAGGCCTATATTCAGGGGCGTAGCGAGGGGGATGCGGGGGGTGCGGACCGCACCGGGTGACACCATTTAGGGGGGTGACACCAAGGCAAAAAATAGCAAAATATATAGAGAAAAACTCGAGGGGGGGTGCAAATCGAAAATTTGAGGGGGGGGGGGTGCAAATCGAAAGTTTGAAAGTTTGTCCCTGGGAAGGGTCTCTATGCCTCTGGGGGGTGACACCATTAAGTGCCGCACCGGGTGACACCCCACCTCGCTACGCCACTGCCTATATTTATTTGCTTGATACCCACTCACACTCAAATAACGATTGTATAAGGAGGGGGGGGGGACTTTCTGAGTTAAAGACCTTTGAATTGCTTTTGTTAAGTTAGTGTGATTGATTTTTAGCGCAATTTCCATTCTGGAGAATTGCGTTTATTAACTCGTCTTTTCTGGGAATGGATGAATGGATGGATGGATGTGTGTCCGCAGCTTTAAGTCGTATCTCCTCCTCAACGAAGCAATATCGAGGACTAGTTCCAAAAGCAATTATGTTAAGCAAGTTACGAGGATGAACATAGGCCATAAAAATTCCGGGTTTCTTTCATGGATTTCCCGGAAAAAACCTCGAAAAAATGCAGTTTTTGGCCCATATCTCGGCAACCAGACCACTTAGCGACTTCAAACATGTACCAAACGATTCCTGCCATAATTTAGAAAAATATTACCGAAGAAAGTTTTCAAAAATATCCTTTCGTTCGGTCACAAACAATTTTTTGAATTAATTAAAATTTGGACCGAATTAGTAGGCATTTTATCCAACCACACCACACGCGTCATCACGTTCAATAGCTGCGCCATCACGTTCAATGGCTGCGACATCACGTTCGGTAGCTAGGCGCGCAATGGTTTTTAGTCATGTTACTCTATTGTAAATAAAACATGTAAAATACTGAAAAGAAAATTAATAAAAAACGTTTTAATAACTAACCAATGGTTTTACTAACCCTGCTCTTGATTTACGCTACGACAGAGCTATTTTTAGATAACATAAGGAAATTGCGCTAAAATTGTCACTAGGCTTTTTTAAATTACTTGTTTCGAATACTACATCTAAAAATGAAGTTGAAAGTATGTAAAGTATGGTTGCTAAGTTAGCTATGTAGCCCTGAGGTACCTTTTGCTTTTCTAAACGTGGTACGGAATTGAATCTGCCCTTCATCGTCCACAAATAAAGTCACTCTTTTTTACACACATTCCCCTCCCTCCATCCATAGCTTATCACCATTGTTGCCAGATGTTTTTCCAGACCCCTTATCCCCAAGCTTTTGTTAAATGTTATCACAACTGGACAGTGTGGTCAAGTATGTAGTACGCCCGCTAACTAAACTGATAGATCGGTACACGGCCTGGTGACCGTAGGTCATCCCACGACCAAACTGTCAGTGTTTCTTCCAGACATTTTTCTCCGGGGGGTCACTTCAAATTTTCGGGGGGGGGGGGCGGTAGGCTTTCTTCGGGGGGGGGGGGGGCGGACACTGTTAAAAGTATATATTTTCTATATAAATTATATAAATTTCATTTCGTTCGGGGGGGGGGGGGCGGTAAAATTTTTTCGGGGGGCGAAGATCGGATGGAAGAAACTCTGCAAACTTTCCTTCACGTTCAAAACCAGGTGGCAAGATGTCGCTAGTGTCTAGCACCTGTCTGCTTAGCTCCGTGAATTGCTCGATTCTTGATAACGTTGCTGTTTGTTTCGCGCCAACTATGTTCAGTTATCTAACGACACCCAAAGATTATCTCTTAACTGACATGCTTCCAATAAGTCAAAAACACTCATATATGTTGCACTGTACTGAGCTGTCTCTATGCTACCGTTTACCTAGGAATTAGGAATGGTTTTTTTTTTTTTACTCAGCCAGCTTCTTTTATTTTTACTATTACTGTGACGTTATAGTTAAATGCGGTAGCGTAGCGAGGGGGGGGGGGGGAGAGGCGGGGGGGGGGGACATATGGGTTGGAAAAATAAATTGAAAGGTTGAGGGGGGTGCTAATAGAAAGTTTGAGGGGGGGGGGGGTGTGCAAATGGAAATCTCGAGGGGGGGGGTGCAAATCAAAAGTTTGAGGGGGGGATGCAAATCGAAATCTTGACGGGGGGGGGGTGCAAATAGAAAAGTTTGTCCCGGGCGCCGGGAAGGGTCGCTACGCCTCTGGTTAAATGATTGAATCTATCCAGTGGTATATTTTTATTTGAATAATTCTTAATAGACCACTTTGAAATAAAATAAGTTATTAATATCTTGCTAGAGATACCCTATGCAGTTGTAAATGCATTAAATTAAAAAAAATACTTATTAGAAAATTTTATAATTGTGCGCCTTCGCGGACTTATTTTCCTTTCGCCTTTTTTCTATACTCTCGATTTGACAAATTTTTGTTTTCATTTTCCATAGGCTTAGTTGTCCCCGCAATTTTTACACTAAAACCGTCATATCTAGAGATCTGTTTATCCTATAAACATAAATTTGGTATCATTTTGCAATAATTAGTCCCCCTAATACAACCTCGTCGTTATTTTGTCATTTTAATTTTTTTTTTTTAAATGTGTGCAGTTATAGGATTGTCACAGGTATCGGTCGGATGAGCTAAGCACAGACAGGCTGGGACAAATAACAAATTATTAAAGAAAAGCTTGGTATTTTAAATTTTAATACTAACAATAGTAACAGGCAACACGAATTAAAATGTTAACACTATTTCAAAAGAAAGGCCATCAACTATACCAGCAGTACATATCAGATGACCCTACAGGTGACACATCTAAATGAGATGTTCAAGGAAAGGCTTTTATTTGCTGGTTCTTTGATGGTTAATATTAGTTAATAAATATTAAGCTTCTGAAGAAAGAAAAATCATGATGCTTCTGTAAAGGTAAAACATTTACCATATGTGTAAAGTGCTTCTGTAAAGAGTCTCTTTGTTTTAAAAAAATGTATCACAATTATCACGTAGTACTTTGAAAGAAGCGTTTACCGCTTTTAAAAGGCTTTTCTCCTGTGTGAATTCTACCATGGTTATTTAATGTAGAGTAGTACTTGGAAAGAAACATTTACCGCTTATAAGGCTTTTCTAAAGTGTGAATTGTATAGGTCCGCTTAAAACTGTTACATCACTTGTCGCACTGATTTTTCTCGTTTATGAATTCTAAGATGACTCATCAAGTGACCAAGCTTTGAAAAACATTTACCACATATCTTACACATGTAAGGCTTTTCTCCTGTATGAATTCTTAAGTGGTCGTGTAATACATTACTTCTTCTAAAACATTTACCACATTTTTTACACATGTAAGGCTTTTCTCCTGTATGGATTGTATGGTGGCTCCGTAAATCAGGGAGCTGTTTGAAACACTTATCACAACTGTCACACTTGTAAGGCTTTTCTTCTGCATGAGTTATAAGGTGTCTCTGAAATGCATTATTTAATGTAAAACATTTTCCACACTTGTCACACATGTGTTTTTCTCTGGAATGAACTCTAAGGTGTCTTTGTAATTTGTAGAGTTTTTTAAAACATTTACCACATTTGTCACAAATTAAAGATGTTTCTCCTATGTGAGTTCTAAGGTGTCTCTGTAAAATGCAAAGCTGGGTGAAACAATTACCACATTGATAACACTTGTGAGGCTTTTCTCCTGTATGAATTTTCTTGTGTCTGTGTACATTATAAGATTGTGTGAAACATTTACCACATATGTCACACTTAAAAGGCTTTTCTCCAGTGTGAATTCTATGGTGTCTTTTAAAAGTGCCAACATCTTTAAAACACTTAACACATTTGTCACACTTGAAAGGTTTTTCTCCTGTATGAATTATATGGTGTCTTTGTAAACTGTTTTTCTCTGTGAAACATTTTCCACATTGGTCGCATTTGTAAGTCTTTCCTCCTGTATGAATTGCCTTATGTCTTTGTAAATTACAAAACTGTGTGAAACATTTACCACATGTATCACATATATAAGGTTTTTCTCCTGTGTGAGTTACAAAATGTCTTCTTAAAGTGCCGTGCTTAGAGAAACATTTATTACAGTGGTCACATTTGTAAGGCTTTCCTGCAGTACAAACGTCGCCGATATGGTGTTGATGAAAACTTGATGACTGGGAAGAAAGTTGACTTGTATTATTAAGGTGATCTAGACTCCTGTTTATAATCCCGACCATGTTTGTATTTCAAATATTCTTTTGAGAATATTTTACTTTCTACGTAGGCCTGCATGTCTTCTGATCCAGATCTAATTCCGTTCAATAAGTATCGCGCTTTTCGGTGTAATGATGCAGCTTAGACTATGCACGCTTTTCGGGAATTCCCTATTATTTATAGATTCTATTTCTTAACGTTAGCACGACCTAAGTACGCCATGTTACATTTATTATGAGGCCACGTGAATATTTTTGTCTTCAAGTTTAATTGACCAAAATTATTAAAAACAACAAGTATTGTGGCTAGAGTTCATTTCAGGCATCTATTTTCTAGTTTCTAACTGTACATTTTTAGAACGCAAACGTGTGACTTCACACTATCTGAAATCCCCATCCCCCTCATCACACATCGATGCAACATCTTTTATATTGGACAAACGGGGAAACGATTATCTGACATGGTCAACCAAAACCTACGATCAATAAACAATGAAGACAGTCTTCCTGTGGCCAACCACTTAAATAAGAGTGGACATGAGATAAAAACTGACTTTTGTGTAGGCCTAACCGATGTTCGATTCTGCCATAATTTTAAAAACCGCCTGAACATGGAAACACGATCCATACTTAAATTTGCCACACGGGCAGCGGATGGCTTAAACGAACAGGTATCTTTCACCTATTCCCATTCGAATTTGCTTTAGATCTATAGATCTACTTATCAAGACGTAGGCTACGCTTTGAAATTTATACAATTTTCTCTGCACAAACTAATAACATTTGCTTTAAAAAGCAACATAAATATCATTGAACAGCCGGGTTTTAACTAGATCTAAATCCTTTAAGTATTTCTACAGACTCTAACAGTGTGTGCATATAATTTGTTTTAATATTTCTAATAGGTATTAGCCTATGTTAATGTAGTCGGATTTTTAGTTATTTAGTTATATCTTTGTTTTGTCACTAATATCGTTCAACGTGTAGTTAATCACAATTTGTTCTGACAAATAACTGTTTCATAAATTATTTTTTTCCAAACAAGCATAACATTAAAATTACATAGGCCTATAATTCACGTGTAACCGGTACCGATGGTTAGGTCGAGTATTAAATAAACATTAACAGTATTTGAAATTAGAAACATGTCAGTTAAAGTAGTTTCACTGGAGGATTTCTACATGCCTTAAAGAGAAGAAAGTCAATCCCTTAGTATACATCATCATAATCTTTCCTCGTTCGTGCCCAACACACATGGCGGAGATAAAGCAGAGTTCATCTGTTACTTTCACTGACATCGGCATGTAATGAGAACGTGTGCTCAGCACTATGCCCAGCCGACTTTGTCTTCCTTACGTGGGTAAGGTACACGTCAGGGCACGGTGGACGCATTCACGCGTCCGACCAAAATCCTAACTCGATTCCCAGCGGCAGAGGCGTAGCGACCCTTCCCGGCGCCCGGGGACAAACTTTTCGATTTCCAACCCCCTCAAACTTTCGATTTGCACCCCCCCCCTCGAGATTTCGATTTGCACCCCCCTCTCGAGATTTTGATTTGCACCCCCCCCCCCCTCAAACTTTCGATTTGCACCCTCCTCAACCTTTCAATTTATTTTTCAAACCCATTTTGGCTCCACCTAAGGTCGGCGCCCGGGGACATATGTCCCCCCCCCCCCGCCCCCTACTGCCCAGCGGTCAAGAGCTCAACTATTTGACCACACTATCCCATAATATACATAAAAATTGCATAAACACCACCCCCACCACACTACCTCTATTTCAGGCTGATACTAACTCTACAAATAACCCTTACCTGAACACTGACTATCTAATCTATGTACACACACAACCACTTATCTACTACAGCACCAACAAGATTATATTGTATAACTATAATAAATTATTCTTTGAAAAGTATTAACATAAAGTATTAGTTATATATATATATATATAAAGTAGGAGGGGGTGCAAATCGAAAGTTTGAGGGGGGGGTGCAAAATCGAAAGTTTGAGGGGGTGCAAATCAAAAGGGGGGGGGGGCGCAAATCGAAAGTTTGAGGGGGGGGGGGGTGCAAAATCGAAAGTTTGAGGGGGTGCAAATCAAAAGTCTGGGGGGAGGGGTGCAAATCGAAAGTTTGTCCCCGGGTAAAAATTGGAACCCCCCCCCCCCCCCCCCCTTGAGACGATCCTGGCTACGCCACTGTAACATGTTAAACAGAAACTTTGCATTTTTTTACAAGCTTTTATTTAACTTGCTTCCCCTGTCTGTCATCTGTTTTAATCCTAGATGGAAACTGGAAAACAACATGATGTTGCCTCATAGTATCTCATAGCAGCACGACGTGACTCCTAATTCCACACTGTGCCAACTTGCCCCACTACAATTGTGTTTTACATATGTTTTATTAATAGTTGAGGTAAAGAGTAAAATGCTTGTGTTTAGCCAACAGGGCTTTACACAGGACTAAAGTAGAAAAAAAAATATTCTCATAAAATATATGTTTACTCTCACCAAAATCAACTTTATAAACTTTAATTTTAAAATTAGCTTTATATGTAAACTAGACTACCTGTTATCGTTGGATAGTTGTGGGTCTCAGGGGTCATCCATAAATGACATTAAGACTCACTTATCATCACAAAAAGACAGACCCACATTCAAAAAGACGTCACACCTCAGACGCTTTTGTCTTCTAAAAACACATATTTAGGCTGAACATGTGTCTGACCACACTATCCCTTCATATGCTGATGTAAAAAAAAAAAAAAACAGGCTAACTCTACTTCACCTGCCCTGTGTCCCGATAAATCAGACATGTTTTTTGTCTTTTAAAACGTCGATTTCGGCTAAGAATGGGTCTGACCACACTATCCCTGACGTCACAGGTGACCTCTACACCTGCCCAACTCTACTTCAGCGTGGTCGAGTCAGTAAAGCTCGCGGTTGCTAAACCGAAAAGTCTTGAGTTCGAACCCTGGGGAAATCTACTCTTATAGGAGAGACAAATGCTGCCTTGTAGTTTGTTCTTGGTTGGACAAAGGCTAGGGAAGCAAATCCAATAAGAAAGCAGGCTGAAATCGGAGTCAATGGCCTCAATGGCGCATAACACGAATACTTAACTGTGTTGGAGTGGAGGGATTCCCTTCCCACACTAAAATTAAGAACAAAGAAGAATTGTTTAGACATCATTTACATTTATTTAGCACAGTAGCACTGTGGGTATCAAGTGCACACTTTTTACAAAATGCTTGTCTTCCACAGATACATATCTCCATAGCAACATACATTAAAATAATAAATTTCACATTTATAGTCATAGTTTAAAAGTGAAAATGACTTAGTGCTAGTTTGTTTGTGTTTGCATTTCATCATCATAGAAAAAGAATTTGAAATGCTAATGATTTCTAAAACAAAGGAAACCCAATATGTAGATAGTTCATACAGAACCAGCACTATCAAGTAATTAAAATCTTACATTTTATGATGGCTCCAATTGATTTTAAAAAAATAAAATAAACCCCACTTTCTTTTCTGAGAAAAGCAAATTTTGATATCAAAAGCATTTTTAGCTATTTTTTGTCTCCTTTTTTCTATACTCTTTTGCCTTTTAAACTAAAACCTCATCTATTTGACTAGAATTGGCCAGATGTGTTAAGAACAGTCAAGCAAGGTCTATATAAATAAATTACCAACGGAAACCTTGGTATGAAAAATGTAATACAGATAACAAGAATCAAAATTTCAAAACATTTTTACAAAGATAAGACTGCAGATCAGATGGTGTTTTTTAAAATTACCAAGCTGGGTAAAATATTTACCACATTTGACACACATGAAAGGCTTTTCTTCTGTGTGAATTCTATAGTGTATTTTTAAATTACATTGTTGGGTAAAATATTTACCACATTGATCACATCTGTAAGGTTTTTCTCCAGTATGAATTCTGAGGTGATTTTGTAAATCCCATAGCTGTCTAAAACATTTACAACATAAGTCACACTTGTAAGGTTTTTCTCCAGTATGAACGCTATGGTGCCTCTCCAGGTTGCTAAAATTTGTAAAATATTTACCACATATGACACACATGAAAGGCGTTTCTCCTGTATGAATTCTAAGGTGTTTTTGTATTTCCCAAAACTGTTTTAAACATTTACCACATAAGTCACACTTGTAAGGTTTTTCACCTGTATGAATTCTATGGTGCTTCCTCAAGTTACCAAAATTTGTAAAGCATTTACCACATGTGGCACACATGAAAGGATTTTCTCCTGTATGCATTCTATGGTGTTTTTTTAAAGCACAATGCTGGGTAAAATATATACCACATTTGTCACATTTGAAAGGCTTTTCACCTGTATGAATTCTAAGGTGATTTTGCAAATCCCATAGCTGTATAAAACATTTTCCACATAAGTCACACTGGTAAGGTTTTTTTCCTGTATGAATTTTATGGTGCTTCCTCAAGTTGCCAATATTTGTAAAATATTTACCACATTTATCACACTGATAAGGCCTTTCTCCTGTATGAATTATAAGGTGTTTTTGTAAATCCGATAGCTGTCTAAAACATTTACCACATATGTCACATTTGTAAGGCTTTTCTCCCGAATGAATTCTAAGGTGTTTTTGAAAATCCCATAGCTGTCTAAAACATTTACCACATAAGTCACACTTGTAAGGCTTTTCCCCTGTATGAATTCTATGGTGCTTCTTCAAGTTGCCAATATTTGTAAAATATTTATCACATTTGTCACACTTGTAAGGCTTTTCTCCTGTGTGAATTCTAAGGTGTTGTTTTAAAAAACATAGCTGTCTAAAATATTTACCACATAAGTCACAATTGTAAGTTTTTTCTCCTGTATGAATGCTATGATGTCTTCGTAACTGTGCAAGTGTTGTAAAACATTTAGAACATTTGTTGCATTTGTAAGGTTTTTCTCCTAAATGAATTATACAGTGATTCTTTAGCTGTGCTAATGTTCTAAAACATTGACCACAGCTCTCACAATTGTAAGCCTTTTTTTTTGTATGAACTTTAAGGTGTTTGCTTAATGTATCATGGCTAAGATAACATTTATTACACTGGTCACATTTGTGAGGCTTTTCTACTGTAGAAATGATATGGTGTTGATGAAAGTTTGATGACTGGGAAGAAAGTTGACTAGAATTATCAATGAGATCTGGGCTTCTGTTGACAATTCTCTCCCTACCATGTCTGTATTGCAAATGTGATTTCAAATAAAGTTTTGTTAAAGCCATTCTGCAATCTTGACTTGGATAAATATCTGTGGAATGTTTTTACTTGTTTGAAAATTGTTTTCATAAAATTTAAAGACATGTTTAAACACAATGCTTAAGAGACATGATATTGACATCTGTTGATAAAGTGGACATTAAAAAAACTGATAAAGTAGACACAGTTATGACTGAATGAAACAGTGCACATGTGACTAACAGTGGACATGAAAATCAACTACATCAATAATAAGGACTAGAAGATGTATGCACTAAATGAAAATAAAATTTTCATTAAATTTAAAGAAGGTTCGGGCACAATGCTAAGGAGACATGACATTAATATCTGCTGATAAAGTGGACAGAAAAATTGATTCAGTGATGACTGACTGTTATAGTGTACACAGTGATGACTGGCTGATACAGTGGACTCAGTGATGACTACAAAATACAATGGACATAGTTGTGACTGAAAAATACAGTGGACACAGTGGTGACTAACTGATACAGTGGACACATTGGTGACTAACTGACACAGTGGACACAGTGGTGACTGACACAGTGGACACAGTGGTGACTGACACAGTGGACACAGTGGTGACTGACACAGTGGACACAGTGGTGACTGACACAGTGGACACAGTGGTGACTGACACAGTGGACACAGTGGTGACTGACACAGTGGTGACTGACACAGTGGACACAGTGGTGACTGACACAGTGGACACAGTGGTGACTAACTGCTACGGTGGACACAGTGGTGACTAACTGCTACGGTGGACACAGTGGTGACTAACTGCTACGGTGGACACAGTGGTGACTAACTGCTACGGTGGACACAGTGGTGACTAACTGCTATGGTGGACACAGTGATAGCTAATTGATAGTTAACATGTGACTGACTTACACAACAGTGGACATGAAAATCAACTACATCAACAAAAAGGATTAGGAGATGTATGTAGGCCTACTAAATGAAATTGCTAATTATGAAAATAATTAATTTTACTTGAAATACCTTGTTTTCATTTGATGAATTATCTTCCCAAAATCTGACAATAAATATTTCCTTAAAATTATATATTCAGTATTCTAAAAACATTTTTGATAGTAATATTGCATACTTGATAATCAGTGAGAAGGAATAATACAATTGATGCATGTAAGAAAATGTTTCTTTTACTCTTCTGTTAAACCTACACATTTTTCTGAACCTAGGCGCAAATGAATCGTTAACCGGAACTGGAGCTTTAACCAGATTGGGTATATTTAGCCCTAACTGAAACTTTATCCAGAACTAGACGGTTGACCTCAAACTGAACCTTAAAAAAAGCTAGTCTTAATCTTAACACTAATTACATTAATAACCCTAATCACAATATTCTGTAGCTTTTTAATTATTTGCCTTTGTTAGTCATATTTGAAATTGAATAGACACACTCACATAACTATTAAACGTATAAAATAGTCTGTAAATTTTTGTCTCTATTATCAATGAATTATGATGTCATTATATTTTTGCATCTTGGTGTTGAACTTTTTAATTTGCTTTTATTTCTACTTGATTTGTATTTTCCTATTAGTTTCATATGAGTCTAGAGCATTCTTTTCACTCATATGGAAAGACAGAATAGTGTACAAGTATTTATATACATTCAGTAACGCAAAAATTTCTATGAGATTTAATATCTGTCATACCAAGTGTTTATATTTCATATTCATAATTTGAAAAATAGTAGGCCTACCATAACTCATTAATTTAAAATTAATTAATTAATTTAAAATTCAAGACCAAGAATTAGCATAATAATTTCTGGTACAACATGAACAGATATTAATTTATATAGTCTCATATTAAAGTAATAGTTGTAACATGCAAGATTTTCATTCTTTTAAATGTGACTTTCCCTTTGTGACCATAAACAAAACAACACAACAATGCCTAGCCATTTTATGGGTTCAGATGTTTCTTCATGTCTGCTGTCAGTAGACAGACAATTGATAAAATATTACGGACAGAGAAACTACTTTGAAATGCAAAATACATTAAATTAGGAAATGATTTAACTAAAAGGGTGTTGGGAAATTGCAAAATGCGAAAGGGAGAGGTGGTAAACTACGAGAAGGGCGCAAAAACCATGAGTCATGGGACATTTTTGCCTTGCATTTTACCACCACCCGATACTTACGATAGGTGGGAGGATGCAAAGCTATCTGTGAAAATTTAACAGCTACCAATTTACAGTGATATTTGATGCAGACTTTTGTTTCGTTTATATTGTTAAAACTTCGGATTTTTCCATTGCTAGACATTCTGATGACTTAACTATCTTAACAAATTTCCTGTTTAATTTATTTTTACTATTAAAGAAACATCTGTGTTTTATCAATACCAGCCGCTCCCTTACTTGAATCAAATGTTACACTTTTGACCCCGATAACGTAAGTAATTTCTTTTAAATACATTGGAGAAGAGGGAGAGGGCTATATGCTCACTGAAATCGAGCATATAGATATAGATTTTAAAAATAAAGTCTATAATAATATTCTCTTTATGAACTCACACTGACCCATCTATCTAGACAGGAGTTTTCTCCCGCTGACTAGAAAACAAGAGTGGCGGTCATAGGATGTTAAATTTTATATATGCATTATATATATATATATATATAGACCTATATATATATATATATATATATATATATATATATATATATATATATATATATATATATATATATATATATATATATATATATATATATATATATATATATATATATATATATATATATACCTATATATATATATATATATATATAAACTAGATATAAAAAAAAGAACAACACTCATCATTCATGATATATATCAGCTTCTTTAGGTTATAATTATAACACAACACAAAAAACATTAAACAAATCTTTTCCTCGCAAAATGTGTCTTGTTATTTACCCGTAATTCTGCAGGTACGTCTCGCATTTTCTTCTCGCAGTTTACCGCCTCGCCATTTGATGTTTTGTGTTTCGCAAATACCCAACACCCTAATTAAGAATGTTTTAAAAAACAGCCACGACAGTGAATAGCCCTGCTACAGCTATTCAGTTGACTGTGAATAGACACTTCAACTAAACAATGCCATGATCAAACATGTTTAATGTGTCATCTTAGCTGTGTTAGTACTAATTAATTATTAATTTAGTAATCAGTAGGCCTAGATCTAGATATTCTACATCTACAAGTAACAACATACTATGAATCTGAGTGGATTAGACATCAGTATTACTGTTAGATACTGCTGATACTGACGGATTGGTAGATCTAGTAACTAAATCTAGTAAGCCGCCCTATTGTCACACTAAAGAAAGACTATGACTAATGTGAAAAAAAAGGTGGCTCGTTTAAAATTTTGGTAGATCTAGACTAGATTAGATCTAATAATATAGAATATAGGCCTAGATTAATAATAATTTCACTTTTTTAAGAAGGAGTTCTTTATGTTAATTATGTTTTGTAAGTTACATAAATGTTTCAAAGTTTCTTTCATGTAGATCTAGTCTAGATCTAGTCTCTACCTGTTTTTAAACAATTGTGTCAAAACTTTTCAGTAATAAATAAAGACTAGCGATGTTTTCATCAAATGCATACTAGTTCATTTAGATCTAGATCTAGATCAACTTTAGAATCTAGTTAGTTTAGCACTTTAGCAGCCATCTTGTTTGTTTATTTGGTAAAATTTTAGATTACCGACTAGATCTAGATCTATTCTAGATCTAGATAAATCATTAGATTTTTAGAACTAGACTTGTAGATCTAAAAAAAAATCTGGCTCTAGGTCTATAATCTTCGATGTAGTCTACTCTAGATTCTATATCTATCTATCATTCTATCTAGATCTAGTGTCGCTAATCTAGATCTATTCTAGGCGTATACTACTCTAGATCTAGATTTCTAGATCTATACTATAGTATACACGCAATCAATGGACCAGAAATTGGGAAGCTTGGAAGACAAAAGATCTAGATTATATACGAAACTAAATCGGAAATTATCAAGCAGTTATAAAAAGCATAGGCCTAGAACTAGATCTAGATTTTACTAGATTCTAGATATAATCTAGATCTATATCTAGATTCTGACATATAGATCTAGTTAGTATACTAAGTATGCGTCTATAATCTATTTTACTATACGAAACTAAATCTGAAATTATCAAGCAGTTATAAAAAGCATAGGCCTAGAACTAGAGTTAATCTAGATCCTCTAGATCTAATCTAGAATCTTGATTCTGATCAGGGGCGGAACTACCGTACCGCCAGACCCCGCAATGCGGGGGGGGGGGGGGGGGGCAGGACGTTTAGGGGCCCAGTTCCGACCAAAAAACAATGAATTTTTTTTTCAAAAATTATGTTTTTCATGCATCTTGAAAGTGGTTTTGTAAAAAAAAAAAACAGGTCTACTATAGCAGAGATTGTTGCGTAGAAAAATATTTTAAAATCTACAAGAGCTATAGTTTGAAAGGTAGGCAAACATTCACACAACTTCCATGACTTACTGCCCTTCTTTAAAATAGGGATGCCCACGAAGCTAATTTAAATAGTTTTGTACTATGTATATTAAAAAGCAATTGATTCTCTGAATTGTTATTTAAATAAGACGTAATAAACAATGTTATAGCTATAAAAATCATTTTTTTCAAAATTGATATTATAAAAGCCAAAAATGAAAAAAAATAAACATAACGAGAGAAACCATTCACGAATCAAGCTTACGTCTTTATATATTTTTGAGCAGCAATTTTTGTAGTATCCATGATTATTTCTAACCCAAGATGAGTTTAGACTAAATTTGTCTGATCCATTTCTTACATATATGCAGACGACAGAACATAAACAGCGAGAAGGACAACTCTTCAAATATGACACGCTGTACTCACCACTTAAACAAGTTTTGTCAATCCCTCCTCAGCCGGATTCCAACACTATCATTTTACATTAACCCCTTTTACTGATTATCCCTTAAAATTGTGTATAACAACATAGATCTATATAAAACAAATATGATAACCATGTACATACTTATTATTAATACGCTCATCCGGACAAAATGGTTTCATTAGATGATAAAATTTAGTAAAAAAGGTGTATACATTTGTAAATTCATCTTGATATGTTTTTTTAAGAACATTTTAAAAAAAATGTAAAATATGCTGATGTCGTTGCAAATGTACCCCTCCTATAGTAAAAGACCTGTCAAAAATGGACCTAAAAACTATCGTTTTATTTTGTATATGTATAAACTCAACTATATAAAATTTGCTAATGTTAATGTACTTGTTTTAAATTGCAAATAAAAAAAAAACGTTGAGCAAAATTGAACGGAGAAAAAAAAAAAAAAAAAAAAAAAGGACTAAATTTGTCTGGTTTGTTCTCTCAGAATGGTTATTTATTGCAATGAAGTAGACTTAATTACTCAGTTAGGATATAGATTTTATATATATATATATATATATATATATATATATATATATATATATATATATATATATATATATATATATATATATATATATATAGGGGGCCCTAATTTTTTCTTTGCGGGGGAGCCCTTTTTTTCTAGTTCCGCCACTGATTCTGATCTATAGATCTAGATTCTGATCTATAGATCTAGCTAGTATACTAAGTATGCGTCTATAATCTATTTTATATAAATTAAAATAGGGCCTAACCATTTGGTAACTAATCGATTAATCAAATGTGCAGACGCGATTTTCTTATTAAGGGCAGTAACTATTTAACTATTTGTAAATTAAACTATTATTGAAATTATTGAATCTTGATTACATCGGCTGTTTGCTGAGTGGTACCCAATCAGTGACGTAAAGTTAACCATTTGACACAAAAAAAAATCGATTTCAGTCCCCCCCCCCCCCCCCCCCCCCGATGTGGATGTCCAAAATAAAATAAGTAGACCTCTCAAAACTTATTACCTATTGTTTAATAATTCTGGTGCAGCCTATTGTGTACATATATAACAAGGGGTTATCCCCAGTCCACAAAAGTAAATTTTTTGGACCCCTCCTCCTGCGTGTTGACGTCATACATGGATGACTCTAGTCCCTAAACTGATATATGGATTTAATACTTTTGTTAATGTTGGTTATTAGGTCCTTTATCATATTTGACCTTAATATTAAGAGAAGAATCTATGGTGAAGAGAGAAAAAATCAGTATGCTTCAATTTTAAAGGTCCTAAATAAATAGTAAATAAAGGCCCTATAAATTGTATTATTCATTAATTTTATTTCAATGACTTTCCCCGTTACCAACAAAAATAAAACTCACGCAAAGTTTTATAGGGGTAGGCTCCGTTTAAAATATTTTATCTATAGCTTTTTTTTTGAGGTACATCCGCATATATTTTCCTATTAAATAAAATTGGTCGTAAAATCTTGGTAACTATGACAACGGCGGCCTTCTCGAAATATAACCTCTTCCAAGGATTCCCACCATCAGTGGTGTAGCTAGGTCGTGTATCACCCGGTGCGGCACTTAATTGTGTCACCCTTCTCCCTCCCCCCGTATATATATATATATATATATATATATATATATATATATATATATATATATATATATATATACAAGGCATACTGCTCTATCATTAGCAGGTTTACGTCATGGTGTTACCCCCCCCCCCCCCCCCCCCCCCCCCCACCACCGACCTTGTCGAGATTTGTCCAATTTGCTCTTAAAAGACTATTTAACACTCTAATTAATCACTTAATGAAGTGGAATTATCGATTTTCTGTCTATATTTTGCTATTTTCTGCCTTTGTGTCACCCCCCTAAATGGTGTCACCCGGTGCGGTCCGATGTTGTCATAGTTACCAAGATGGTGCCATAATTTTTTTTTAAAATGGAAACACACATGCGGTTGTACCTTTTAAAAGCTGTAGAGAACTCCAGTATAACACATATCATTGTAATCAGCCAAGGGGGATAATAAATTAAGTTATAATTAATGGGTTGCGGCCCCCGTGGGAACGCAACTGTTGATGTCGTTTTTCTTATGTTTTTTGGTGAGCGAATTTTACCAGTGTTCCATGTTATTTGATATGGGATGGGATTATGGGTAGTTCGTGCCTGTGGCCGTGTAGGTCAGACCCAACGGTGCCGTTGCCTATGATAAGTAGATCATGTAGACCTTATGAAGGTAATGTAAATTATGTTTATTATTACTGTATTATTTCCACTACTTAGTGCTGCATGGGCAGACTAGGTATGAAGTATTTTAGGTTAAGTATTTATTTAAGTATTTATTATTGTACTACTTATTGGTACTTGTTGGCAGTAGTGTGTACTGGTCGTAACATTTTATTACACCCGTGTATTTGTGTAGCCTACACGGGGTATTTCCAGTGATGTAACCTATAGAGTCCTTGCATATGACGTCACATCCGTTCGGGTATGTAAACATCCGCCATCGCGGTGTACAGATCTAATTCAAAATGGTGGTCTGTGTTGTGAAAGATTGTGATACTCGAAGTGGCAGATCTAAAGGGATTCCTTTATTTCAACTGCCAAGGGTTATATTAAACCAAGATGATAGAGATCGACAGTTAACAGATCGAAGACGCCGTCAATTTTTAGTCAATATTTATCGCAGCGGTGTGAGTGAAGCAGCGGCAAATAACATGCGAATCTGTTCTCGACACTTGGTTTCAGCAAAGGACAGTAAAATAATTAACTTTATTTTAATTATAAAAGATAACTGTTAATAAAACAAATATGCTCGACCTTCACAAATACTAATAGTAAAAGACAATGTAAAAAGTAATAATAAGAATAATAAGATTTAATTGTAATAATAGTGATTTAATATTTAGATCTAGAATCTAGCTCTAAACATGGCGTAAACAAAAGTCGGACCTTAGATCTACGGTGACTGGCTCCGCTTGGTAGACATAGAATCTCGCATCTACTTATTTAATTAAATTTAATTACAAAATTTAGATCTACATTTCGATTCAAAATACACCCATAATAAATCAAAAGTACTCATAATAATAAAGCATTTAATTGTCTCTAAGATCTAAAACCTAGCTCTATAATGATAATCTTATCATTTTTTTAGCAAACGAAATTATTTGAAATTGAAATAGATTGTTTGACTAGACTTAGATCTAGAATCTGCTACTTAAATTAAATTTTAAAAAGTTCATACAAGCATGTAGTTGATATTATTGTAGTAGAAGGCTTTAATAAATTACTTTGTGTCTTTTCACAGTAATATGTATCTGATACTGGACTGAGTTTAATTAAATTCAAATGCATATCTAGTAATTAGTCTATTAAGTTTATGTAGCTTAGTAGTTAGTAGAATCTAGATTCTAGATCAAACCAGCGGACAACAAATAACCACATTATTATTATTTGGTCAATGATTAGGCTAATTTTTTTTTAAAACTACTGTTTATAAAGAAACAAATCAAGCTAGAAACATTATAAGTGAGATGGTTTAGAATAATAACAATGGACCCAGTCTACAATTGATACAATTGCAGGTCTACATAGGGCCTACAGTCTAGTAGTTTACAGTAGACAACTAGTGTGTAGGTAGTATACTAGTGTGTAGCTGTCCAGAGTTAAGATTCTTGGATGTAAAAAGGGATGGTACTAGCTAATCTGCCTTAATGCTTTCCCCTGATAAGCCATGTGTGCTATAAATGACATAACATGACATGGAGGTGAGAAATGTTGAGGGGAGAGCAGTGGGACTGATTTCCCCTTTGTTCTCCCTGCTGGGCCCTGAGGGTAAAATATTATATAAGAGATGCTGTCTCTGGTTGGTTGAGATCCAAGAACAGTAATCCCTGTGGGGCTGGGTATCACAGGAGGAGGTGAGAAATTTTCAAAGAAGAGGTTAATATTTAAAAAATTTAATACAAACAGATAACAAGAATTTAAAAATTCAACAATATGTAACAAACAAAAGGCCATCCAATATACAGTTCGAGTGATGTAATCTAAATTTCAAGTGTAGCTTCTTTGATTAAGGCAGAGCTTCTTTCCAGCATCTCTTCATACAAAATATTTACTAGTTACCACATTTGAAAGGATTCTTTTCACTATTTGAATCCTTAAGGTGGTTCTGTAACATAGTACTTTGAAAGAAACAGTTACCACATGGATTACGCTTACAAGGCTTTTCTCAAGTGTGAAGTCTATAGTAGATCAGTAAATGCGACATCTATTTATGGCTTATACCACACTTGTCACCAATGTTCCCTCCATCTTGAGCAGCTGTTTTGAACCAGCAGTGCAGTCATTTTGTAAAAACATATATCCTTATCTCCTAAAGTGATGAAGTTCTATTAAACATTTACCACATTTTTTACACATGTAATGATTTTCTCCTGTATGAATTGTATGGCAGTTCTGTACATCTGTTTGAAACATTGGCCACAGTTGGCACACTACTAAAGCTTTTGTTTATTTTGAATTTTAAGCTGTCTCTGTAATTTATAACTTGCTGTAAAACATTTATCACACGTTAATTTTAAGGTGTTTCTGTGATTGTTAAAGCTTCAAAAACATTTGCCATATTTTTCTAATGTGAATGGGTTTTTTTTTCTACAGTGGTTTTGTAAATGGGAGATGTAAATGAAATGCTAACCACAGTGCTCATGCACATTAGGCTATTCTCCTGTATGAGTTTTAAGGTGTCTCCTCAATTGACCACGATGTCTCAAACCTATACCACATTTCCCACACACATAAGGCTTTTCTCCTGTATGAATTCTAAAGTGGCACTGTAAGAAATAACTTTGACTGAAACATTTACCACATTTCTTACACATGTAAGGCTTTTCTCCTGTATGAATTATGTGATGGCTTTTCAAATGTGCAATCGGTTTGAAGCATTGACCACAATTGTTACACATGTAAGGCTTTTCTCCTGTGTGAACTCTAAGGTGCCTCATTAAAATGCAAAGCTGGGTGAAACAATTACCACACTGATCACACACATATATGGCTTTTTTCCTGTATGAATTCTTTTGTGTCTGAGTAAATTGCCATTTTGAAACAATTACCACATATGTCACACTTGTAAGGTTTTTGATCAGTATGAATTCTATGGTGTCTTTGTAAATCACTAGTCTGTTTGAAACATTTACCACATTTGTCACACTTAAGCGTTCTTTCTCTTGTATGAACTACTTGATGTTTTTTCAAAGAGCTAACCTTCAAATAACATTTATCACATTTGCCACACTTGTGAGGATTTTCCCCTGTTAATTTTATGTTAAATAATAAATCTAGTAGGCCGAAAACAAGCAGGTGGTGATTTTTATTTATTGAATGCAAAGTACTATTTTAAATTTCACTTTTGGCAACTATAACTAAAAGAAAACTGGTCATATAAAACTATGTTTAATTATAGTGTTATTTTAAATACTAAGCACTTTATAGCTATTCATGTAAAAACCATATGTTGACTTAGCATCTATCAAACAAAGCACCTCTGGTCACCCCCCCCCCCCCCCACCAAAAAAAAAAAAAAAGCAAATAAGACCTTGATATTTAAATATTTAATGTTAACAGATAACAAGAATTAAAATTTCAATAACAAGAATTCAAATTTTAACAAAATAATTAACAAAAACAGGCCATCCAATTAACAGTGCTGTTAAATGACACTAAAAGTGTCACACATCTCAAAGATATGTAGAAAGGCCAAGCTCATTTTTTCTTTGATGGTTAAAACTGTTTCTTTAAGACAACTCTTAGTGCAAAACATTTAACAATTACCACATTTGTAAGGCTTTTCTCCTGTATGAAATCTAGGGTGGTTTTGCAACATAATACTTCAAAGGAAACATTAACCATATGTATAAAAGTGTGAATTCTATGGTCTGAAACTTTACCAAACATTAGGTTTTCTCTTGTATAAATTCTAAAGTGTCTCCTCAAAGGACCACATTCTCTCAAACATTTACCACATTTCCTACACATGTAAGGCTTTTCCCCTGCATGAATTCTAAAGTGCCTTTACTTGCTCTAAAACATTTACCTCATTTTTTTTACACTTGTAAGGCTTTTCTCCTGTATGGATTGTATGGTGGCTCTGTAAATCAGGGAGCTGTGTGAAATATTGACCACAATCATCACACTTGTAAGGCTTTTCTTCTGTATGAGTTTTAAGGTGTATCTGTAATCCATAATGTGCTGGAAAACATTTTCCACACTTGTCACACATGTAAGGTTTTTCTCCTTTTTTTTAACATAATTTTTTTAGTTTTAAAAACAAAATTGATAACAACAAAAATTTACAAAAGAAACCTCTCATACATGATCAAACAGAAGAGGCTGTTTTATGTTAGATATATACACAATACAGCATAAAGGATGAAACATTTGAACCATACATGTTGAGATGATGATGAACATTTATACAAAGGAAGTTAATGGTGAAATAGATGAACTGATTAGATTCTTTCTTGAGACTCTAACAGTACAACACTGTTACCACGAATGACCACCATTCCAATGTTTCTCTTTTCTCCTGATTTTGTTTCTTCAATAGCATCATCAACAACAAGATTCATAAAAGAGTCAAAGCCTCTGAGAGTACCTGTTACTTTTCTGTTACCATTCAGCTTCAATGTTAAAACCTTTTCCATACACTTTTTCAACTATGGTGGATGAGCTTTACTCATTTAAAACTTTTGCTTTTGGGGTTTTAATTTGCGCCAACAAAATATGAGAAAAATAAAAGGTTTTTCTTCTATATGAACTGTACGGTTTATCTTCAATAGGCTAAACTCTGTAAAACATTTACCACATTTCTTACACTTGTATGTCTTTTCTTCTAAATTATGAATTCTAAGGTGTCTCTGTAATCCATGAATTTCTGCAAAATATTTACCACATTTATCACACTAAAAAGAATCTTCTCTTGCTTGAAATTTAAAGTCCTTTTTAAATTGGCAAAGCTTCAAAACACTGTTACCAAATTTTTCTAAAGTGGAATGATTTTGTTTTTGATGGTGGTTCTGTAAATGTGAGATTTGCATGAAAGACTGACCACATTGGGTACACATACAGCTTTTCTCCTGTATGAATCCAAAGGTGTTACTGTAAAATGCAAAGCTGAATAAAACAATTACCACATTGATCACACATTCAAGGCTTTTCTCCAGTATGAATTGTATGGCAGTTCTGTACATGTGGGATCTGTTTGAAACAGGTGGCACACTAGTAAGGCTTTTGTTTATTTTGAATTTCAAGCTGTCTCTGCAATCTATAACTTGCCGTAACACATTTAGCACACTTTAATTTTAAGGTCATTCTGTGATTGGTAAAACTTCAAAAAAATGTGCAAAATTTTCCTAGTGTGGAATGGTTTTTTTTTAAGGTGGTTCTGAAAATACGAGACCTGTATGAGTTCTAAGGTGTCTTCTTAAGTGGCAACCTTGACCAAAAAATATACCACATTTCTTACACATATAAGGTTTTTCTCCTGAATGAATTCTAAAATGGCACTGTAATAAATTACTTTGACTGAAACATTTACCACATTTCTTACACATATAAGGTTTTTCTCCTGTATGAACTCTGTGATGGCTCTTCAAATGTGCGAACTGTTTGAAGCTTTTACCACAGTTGTCACACATGTAAGGCTTTTCTCCTGTGTGAACTCTAAGGTGCCTCGTTAAAATGCCAAGCTGGGTGAAACAATTACCACAGTGATCACACATATATGGCTTTTTTCCTGTATGAATTATATTGTGTCTCTTTAAATTAACATTAAGTCTGAAGCATTTACCACATTTGTGACACTTGTGAGGCTTTTCTCCTGTGTGAACACTAAGGTGTAACCGCAAACTACCAGTATGTTTGAAACATTTACCACATTTGTCACACTTAAGCATGCTTTCTCTTGTATGAACTACTTGATGTTTTTTCAAGGAGCTAACCTTCAAATAACATTTATTACATTTGTCACACTTGTGAGGATTTTCCCCTGTATGGATTACAAGGTGTTTTTGTACATCACAAAGCAGTGTGAAACTTCTATCACATTTGTCACATTTATAAGGTTTTGCTCTACTATGAATTCTAGAACTGTGTCTCTGTAAATCCCAAAGCTTATGAAAAAATTTACCACATTTCTCACACATGTAAGGCTTGTCTTCTGTATGAATTTTAAAGTGTTTCTTTAAGTGGCTCAACTTTAAAAAACATTGACCACATTCGTCACACTGGTAGGATTTTTGGCTAGTATGACTGCTAAGGTGTGTCTTTAAACTTGTCCCTTCTATAAAACTCTTCCCACATTCAGCACACTTGTATGGCTTTTCTCCTGTATGGATTCTATAGTGTCTCTTAAAACTCCCAACCCTTGAGAAACATTTACCACATTTGTCACACTTATAAGGCTTTTCTCCTGTATGGATTGTATGGTGGCTCTGTAAATCAGGGAGCTGTGTGAAATATTGACCACAATCATCACACTTGTAAGGCTTTTCTTCTGTATGAGTTTTAAGGTGTATCTGTAATCCATAATGTGCTGGAAAACATTTTCCACACTTGTCACACATGTAAGGTTTTTCTCCTTTTTTTTAACATAATTTTTTTAGTTTTAAAAACAAAATTGATAACAACAAAAATTTACAAAAGAAACCTCTCATACATGATCAAACAGAAGAGGCTGTTTTATGTTAGATATATACACAATACAGCATAAAGGATGAAACATTTGAACCATACATGTTGAGATGATGATGAACATTTATACAAAGGAAGTTAATGGTGAAATAGATGAACTGATTAGATTCTTTCTTGAGACTCTAACAGTACAACACTGTTACCACGAATGACCACCATTCCAATGTTTCTCTTTTCTCCTGATTTTGTTTCTTCAATAGCATCATCAACAACAAGATTCATAAAAGAGTCAAAGCCTCTGAGAGTACCTGTTACTTTTCTGTTACCATTCAGCTTCAATGTTAAAACCTTTTCCATACACTTTTTCAACTATGGTGGATGAGCTTTACTCATTTAAAACTTTTGCTTTTGGGGTTTTAATTTGCGCCAACAAAATATGAGAAAAATAAAAGGTTTTTCTTCTATATGAACTGTACGGTTTATCTTCAATAGGCTAAACTCTGTAAAACATTTACCACATTTCTTACACTTGTATGTCTTTTCTTCTAAATTATGAATTCTAAGGTGTCTCTGTAATCCATGAATTTCTGCAAAATATTTACCACATTTATCACACTAAAAAGAATCTTCTCTTGCTTGAAATTTAAAGTCCTTTTTAAATTGGCAAAGCTTCAAAACACTGTTACCAAATTTTTCTAAAGTGGAATGATTTTGTTTTTGATGGTGGTTCTGTAAATGTGAGATTTGCATGAAAGACTGACCACATTGGGTACACATACAGCTTTTCTCCTGTATGAATCCAAAGGTGTTACTGTAAAATGCAAAGCTGAATAAAACAATTACCACATTGATCACACATTCAAGGCTTTTCTCCAGTATGAATTGTATGGCAGTTCTGTACATGTGGGATCTGTTTGAAACAGGTGGCACACTAGTAAGGCTTTTGTTTATTTTGAATTTCAAGCTGTCTCTGCAATCTATAACTTGCCGTAACACATTTAGCACACTTTAATTTTAAGGTCATTCTGTGATTGGTAAAACTTCAAAAAAATGTGCAAAATTTTCCTAGTGTGGAATGGTTTTTTTTTAAGGTGGTTCTGAAAATACGAGACCTGTATGAGTTCTAAGGTGTCTTCTTAAGTGGCAACCTTGACCAAAAAATATACCACATTTCTTACACATATAAGGTTTTTCTCCTGAATGAATTCTAAAATGGCACTGTAATAAATTACTTTGACTGAAACATTTACCACATTTCTTACACATATAAGGTTTTTCTCCTGTATGAACTCTGTGATGGCTCTTCAAATGTGCGAACTGTTTGAAGCTTTTACCACAGTTGTCACACATGTAAGGCTTTTCTCCTGTGTGAACTCTAAGGTGCCTCGTTAAAATGCCAAGCTGGGTGAAACAATTACCACAGTGATCACACATATATGGCTTTTTTCCTGTATGAATTATATTGTGTCTCTTTAAATTAACATTAAGTCTGAAGCATTTACCACATTTGTGACACTTGTGAGGCTTTTCTCCTGTGTGAACACTAAGGTGTAACCGCAAACTACCAGTATGTTTGAAACATTTACCACATTTGTCACACTTAAGCATGCTTTCTCTTGTATGAACTACTTGATGTTTTTTCAAGGAGCTAACCTTCAAATAACATTTATTACATTTGTCACACTTGTGAGGATTTTCCCCTGTATGGATTACAAGGTGTTTTTGTACATCACAAAGCAGTGTGAAACTTCTATCACATTTGTCACATTTATAAGGTTTTGCTCTACTATGAATTCTAGAACTGTGTCTCTGTAAATCCCAAAGCTTATGAAAAAATTTACCACATTTCTCACACATGTAAGGCTTGTCTTCTGTATGAATTTTAAAGTGTTTCTTTAAGTGGCTCAACTTTAAAAAACATTGACCACATTCGTCACACTGGTAGGATTTTTGGCTAGTATGACTGCTAAGGTGTGTCTTTAAACTTGTCCCTTCTATAAAACTCTTCCCACATTCAGCACACTTGTATGGCTTTTCTCCTGTATGGATTCTATAGTGTCTCTTAAAACTCCCAACCCTTGAGAAACATTTACCACATTTGTCACACTTATAAGGCTTTTCTCCTGTATGGATTCTAGAGTGTATATTCAAATTCCCAACCATTGTGAAGCATCTACCACATTTGTTACACTTGTAAGGCTTTTCTCCTGTATGAGTCATAAAGTGCTGTCTTAACTGGCCATCATCAATGAAACATTTACCACATTCCATACACTTATACGGCTTTTCTCCTGAATGAGATCTATTGTGTTTTATTAAAGAGCCACTTTCTTTAAAACACATACCACATTTTTCACACTTATAAGGTTTTTCTCCAGTATGAATTCTTTTGTGGATACGTAAACTAGGATCCTGAGTGAAACATTTACCACATATGTCACACTTGTAAGGTTTTTCTCCTGTATGAATTCTTAAGTGTCTCTTTAAATGTGAAAATGTTGTAAAACATTTACCACATTTGCCACAATTATAAGGCTTTTCTCCTGTATGAGTTCTAAGATGTTTTCTTAATGTAGCATGGTTCAGAAAACATTTACCACAGTTGTCACATTTGTGAGGCTTGTCTTTTATACATATGATATGGCGTTGAAAGTTTGATGTCTGGGAAGAGAGTTGACTTGCATTATCAATGGCATCCAGACAGCTATTAACAGCTCTATCTTGACCATGTCTGTATTGCAAATGTGCTTTCAAATACGAAACATTTGAAAAAGTTATACTGCAATGTTGACATTTTTCACACTTATTATTTTCTCGAGTATGAATTCCTTGGTGGGTTCGTAAACTAGAATCCTGAGTGAAACATTTACCACATATGTCACACTTGTAAGGTTTTTCTCCTGTATGAATTCTTAAGTGTCTCTTTAAATCGGTACCTGTTGTAAAACATTTACCACATTTGCCACAATTATAAGGCTTTTCTCCTGTATGAACTCTAAGATGTTTTCTTAATGTAGCATGGTTCAGAAAACATTTATCACAGTTGTCACATTTGTGAGGCTTGTCTTTTATACATACGATATGGCGTTGAAAGTTTGATGTCTGGGAAGAGAGTTGACTTGTATTATCAGTGGCATCCAGACAGCTATTAACAGCTGTATCTTGACCATGTCTGTATTGCAAATGTGCTTTCAAATACAAAACATTTGAAAAAGTTATACTGCAATGTTGACATTTTTCACACTTATTATTTTCTCGAGTATGAATTCCTTGGTGGGTTCGTAAACTAGAATCCTGAGTGAAACATTTACCACATATGCCACACTTGTAAGGTTTTTCTCCTGTATGAATTCTTACGTGTCTCTTTAAATGGGTAGCTGTTGTAAAACATTTACCACATTTGCCACAATTATAAGGCTTTTCTCCTGTATGAACTCTAAGATGTTTTCTTAATGAAGCATGGTTCAGAAAACATTTATTACACTGGTCACATTTGTGAGGTTTTTCTTTTATACATATGATATGGTGTTGATGAATGTTTGATGCATGGGAAGAAAGTTGACTTGCACTATCAATGGCATCCAGCCTCCTATTAACAGCACTATCTTGACCATGTTTGTATTGCAAATGTGCTTTCAAATAAGAAAGTTTTGAAAAAGCCATACTGCAATGTTGACATGGATAGATATCTGTAAAACAATTTTATTTATTTGTTTTCATACAATTATAAGACAACTTTATAGAATAAAATAGTAACACTGATATCTGTTGATACAGCCAACATAGTTATAACTAAATGCTGCTGTGGACACAGTGATGACTAATACACTGGACACAATAGTGATTGATATAGTAGACACATCGATGACTAACTGATACAGTGATGACTAACTTATACAGTGGAAACAGTGAGGGCTGATACAGCTGACATGTGACTGACTTTTTCAACAGTGGACATGAAAATCAACTACATCAATAGTAAGGACTAAGAGATATATTAATATGTACCAAATGAAATTGCTAATTATGTAAATAATTTATTTTACTTGAAATAAATGGTTTTTCATCAATGAATCACCTCTCCAAAAATCTAACAACAAATATTTCTTTAACATTACATATTTCAGTGGACACAATGGTGACTAACGGATACAGCGGACCAAATGATGATACTGATACAACAGTGGACATAATCATCAACTACAAGGACTAGGAGACGAATGTACTTAATGAAGTTGTTAATTACCACCTTCATTATTCTCCATGTTTGTTAAAGAACTCTTGCTTATAACTCCAACCCTCTGTATCTGAGTTCCCAGTCCTATGGCACAGACGTCACCATAGTACACCTGAAAATGTCAGAATACTGTTCTATACTAGTAGGCCTAATTATAAAAAATATAAAATAATTTTCACTTGGTTTTTCATCAATGGATTTTCCCTCCAACAAATGACAATAAATATTTCTTTAATAATACATATTCAGTAATACAAAAATAGTTTTAGATAGCAATTCTGAGTACTATTGCATACTTGATAATTAGTCCTAATCTTAGCACTAATTATATTACTGATTCTAATCCCAATATTCTATTGTTTTTTAATTATTTTGCATTTGCTGCCTTTAAATTGATTCACACAGTTTATTTTACTTTTATTTTTACTTGATTTGTATTTTCCTATTAGATATGATGTTAGAGCATTCTTGCCACTCACACGGAAGGACAGAATAGTGCAGTGGCGTAGCGAGGGGGGGGACAGGAGGTGCGGAATGCACCGGGTGACACAATTTAGGGGGGTGACACCAAGGCAAAAAATAGCAAAATATATACATATTGGTTGGGTGCGCGATAGGGCACTTCCGGGCACCACAGGCGCTTCAAATTTGGCAGGCTCCAGCCTTTGGGCAATAGAATACGGGGGCTGGTGCCGGTTAGCAGCAAAGTCCACAAAGAGAGGGTCAAAACAAAACTGACCTCGACTGACGGGCGCCTTGTATGAGCTATGTTACGAAAAAAACTTTTGCCAAACAAACCCCCCCACCTCATTATATTTTGTGGGATAGTAAAAAAACACCTAGGGGTGTTAAAAAAAACTCACCATATCCTGGAGAATTCTGCAAAGTAGTCAAAACTGACCAGTCATAAACAATTGTTTGTGAAAAAGTAACAAAGACTACGTCATTTGGTAGCCTATATGTAAAGGGGAAATTACTTTTTAAAGTAATAATTTTTAAATACTGCTTTTGTTATTCCAAAGAGAAAACAAAAATCACAAAGTTCAGCATTCGTTTAAATAGATTTTTCATTATAAATTAATTTATGTACTGTAATGAATTTGTAAAATTTAATTGCCAAAGTGAATTTAATATAATATTAAGATTTATACTGTTTAGAAAGCCTTGCGAGTAATAAGTGTGCGAATACTATTCCAGTGATTGTGTAACATGAAATTACTTTTACAACTTAGGCCACATAACAGCCAATCGCCAAATAATTAATCAATCAAATTATCAAAAGTTTTTTGAAAACCTAAGCGAAGCTAGGCAGTATGCCTAGTAAATGTATATATACATACATATATCATTTTTTACGGGGGGGGGGGGGGGGGTGACACTATTAAGTGCTTCACCGGGTGACACCCAAAATTGCTACGCCACTGGAATAGTGTAAAAATATATACTTTCAGTAATACAAAAATTATGCTAGATTCAATATTTGCAGAACCATTAATATTTCATTTGAAAAACGTACTTATTATTCATTAGTTTAAAATTCAAAACCAGGAAGTCTAATTTATTTCAGGCACTACATGAATGAAATTCAATTTATCTAAGCTAATATTAAAACAATAGTATTTTGCGAAAAATTTATCCATCTGAGTCTCGAGAGCAAACCCTCTGGCAGATAAGGCCAGATCTCTTCCAACACTAAAAATTAAGAACAAAGAAGATTCATCTGAGAATGCCACTTTTACTCTTTGACCAAAAATGAAACAACAAAACAATCGCTAGCCATTTAGGAAATAGGGGTCTAGTGGTTTTTAAAATTAAAAAAAGAATTGGTTGTGATTTGAGCTCAAAATATTCTATTTCTTTTTTTTCACAGACTGATAAACCTTAAAATGCTTCACTTTTGTTCATTTTTGTACCTAGTCCATTTATATTGTATAAGTTCTATTGACTTTGATGAAACCAACTTTTAAATTTAGCCTTCATTCTTCAAAAGCTTTACTGGTATATATAGCCCTGCCAGAGGCGCCGCGAGGGGAGGGGCGGACCGCACCAGTGACACCATGGCTAAAAATTGCAAAATATATAAAAGAAATGCGCATTTTGCCAGTTAATTAATCATTAATTTAAGTTAATCCACCTGTATTAACAACTGACTATAGATAAACATCTTTACTATTATCTGTGAACATGTTAAAACTATCACAGGGGGGGGGGGGGGGTTGGGGTTGACACCAATTACAAAAAGTACAGAGGAAAAAAGGTTCTGTTGAATATTTCAAATACCTAGTAAGTCAATCAACTACAGGGGTGGGGGGTGACATCAAAATCTTATAATTTACATTGAAAACAATGCTTTTTCTACATGAATTAATAATTGTATTGATATAATGTGCACACAAATTTAAGCCATTAGGCAAAATGGGAGGGGGTGACACTAATTACAACAATATATAGGCATATGCAGACATTAATATACATATATATATATATTGGGGTGGAGTGGGGGCGACACCATGAGGTGCCGCACAGGGTGACACCAGACCTTACAATGCCACTGAGCCCTGCCACCTATAGTTTGTTTTTATAACATGAAAATCTGCCAGTTTGCTCAAGGTAAACATTTTAAAAGTAATTTTAAGAAGGTGGTCACCGAAACTAAGACGAAAAAATCATAGGAAGTGATATATCCGGTGTGGATGCCATATTGTTGTTAGCAACCGTTTCAGCCTCCAGGTTAGCGAGCAATACTAAGATTCCTTTCTTCTTCTTAATTTCGTTCTTAATTTTTAGTGTTGGGAGGGATCGAGCCTTATCTGCTAGAGGGTTTGAACTCAAGACTTTTTGATTTAGCAACCATGAGCTTTGCAGACTCGACCATGCTTCCATCACAATGAAGGATTACGTGTCAACTGGTTATGCGCCATTGAGGCTATTGACTCCGATTTCAGCCCGCTTTTCTTTTTGGATTTGCTTCCATAGCCTTTGTCCAACCAAGAACAAACTACAAGTCAGCAGTTGTTTGATTTTGGAGTTGTCTCTCCTAGAAGAGTGGCTGTCCCCAGCTAACGAGCCTCATCTGCCCGAGGGTTCAAACTCAAGACTTTTCGGTTTAGCAACCATGAGCTTTACCGACTCGACCCCGCCAACCCCCTAAGATTCCTAAATATACTAGTTTATTAGAATCTAGAAGTAGATTCTAAAAAATTAATTATTCTGGATAAGATAAACATCTAGATAAAGATAGATAATAATAATAATACCAATATAATACAGATTGATTAGATCATCTTTAATGCCTTAATCTTTATAAATATTAAAATTATAACACTTAACAGTAATACTTAACTAAAAGTAACACATACAGCACACAACACTTGATGACTGTATGACTCCTTGACTTGACTTACAAAGAGAGAAAGAGAGATCACCAAGTGAGTCCAAGTGGCAAGCAATAAATTTTTAATTTATTATTCAATATTCAGATTGTTTTAGATCTAGGCCATTCAAGGCTAAAACCTCAAATGTGGAGTTTATACTAGATCTAGATTAAGATCTAGATCTATAGCATGAATACAAATTGTAATTATTGTTGGATTTTGAACAGTTCAGATGATGAACATACCGGAACTTTTGAAAGCTGGATGACCGATTCCATTAGGTATCGATATTTAAAAATATAATTTTTCATCCATTAAAAAATATATATATATATATTAGATCTACATTTCGTTCTACACCCTTTTGGATTTTCTACCAATATAAATCTTAAATTATCAAGCAGATATAAAATAGATCTATACTGATTAAAATTCAAACTAGTATTTGTTAACTAATCGGTTATGTGATTTTATAGACTCGATTTCTTGTTAAAATAACGTTTGCTGAGAGCTAACCAATCAAGAAGGCAGCAGAGTTTGACGAGATGGATTGGATTCCTTTTATTATTGTTGACATGGATAAAAAAAACGTTTTTTTTTTTCGATTTTGCGTCATAGCGACCGAAATAAAAAGAAATTTAGCTTTAAACAATTTCCGACAATTAATATTTTTAAAATCGATAAAAGTTGTAGATGCAGAGAAGTTTTGCGAATAAGACTTCATTAATTTGTTTGTTACATTTTCAGTTATAAAATTTTTTAAAAATTGTTTTTCGCTTTTATTACAAATATTAGTAAAATAAAACAACAACCACTAACAATACTGTTTTTACAAGCTTTTATTTAACTCACTTCCTCTGTCGACACAGTCTGTCTGTCGTCAGTCTAGATCGAAACGCAGGAGTAAAAATTCGGACACTTCTACTTGACCGATACGATTCACATTTGACACGTGGGTCAAGACATGAAGACAATGCAATCTGAAATTAAATTTGACTTAATTGGATGCCTAATTAATTTTTTATGAATTAATTAAAATTTGGACCGAATTAGTAGGCATGTCTATCCAACCACACCACACACACGCGTCATCACGTTCAATAGCTGCGCCATCAGGTTTAATAGCTGCGCCATCACGTTCAATAGACGCGCAATGGTTTTTAGTCATGTAACACTATTGTAAATAAAACATGTAAAGTACTTAATTTTTTTTTTTATAAAAAACGTTTTAATAACAAGCTTTTTGTAATATGTTGAGCTTTGTGAAGTCAAGGGAACTCACTCTTCTTGTATTAGTCTTATAATGTTTGAGTGATGTCCCTTGCATGTCATGTGCTTCCTGTGTCCGATTCAGAATAAAACGTGGTGTGCATAGAAGATGGCTTCATCGTCTGTTATGTTATCTATCTAACTACAAATCTACTACACTTTTATGTAATAATGCACTAAAAAGTAGAAAATAAATTATACACTACTATTTAAATTACTATAAAGAAAAGCGTGGGTCTCTTCTCAAATATTAGTAAAGGTATCCAATAGGTACTAAAGTACTAAAGTGACCCACGCTTTTCTGTATAGTAATTTAAATAGTAGTGTATAATTTATTTTCTACTTTTTTGTTCATCATTACATAAAAGCTTGTTATTAAAACGTTTTTTATGAAAAAATTTTATAACTAGATTCTAATTTAAAATTTGTTTTAATAGCACTGCACACGATTTTAAAAATATTA